GACTCAAGAAAATCACCATTTTATAGTTCAAATCGGGGAAAATAAATACAGTACAGTGGTACCTTGGGTTACATATGCTTCAGGTTACATACGCTTCAGGTTACAGACTCTGCTAACCAAGAAATAGTACCTCGGGTTAAGAACTTTGCTTCAGGATGAGAACAGATATTGCGCGGCGGCAGCAGGAGGCCCCATTAGCTAAAGTGGTGCTTCAGATTAAGAACAGTTTTAGGTTAAGAACGGGCCTCCGGAATGAATTAAGTACTTAACCCGAGGTACCACTGTAAATGGACAAAAGTACAAAGATTCACAAAATGTTTAGGGGTATGCGTACCCCTGCGTCCCCACAGGAAAAAAGCACTGCCTGTGGGGCTCAGGAGCCGAGTTATGTCCCCCCTTGCCTGCAGAACAAACCCCCTCCCTTGTGGCTTGTTCCCTCAGCCTCCTTTCCTCTCCCCTCTCCTTGGGAGTCCTTTGGGCAGTCACTGCTGCCGCCCCTGGTCTCTGAACTGCCCCCCAACCCTGCCCCAAAGAGAGGGGCTTCCCAGAGGCACCATTCGCTTGTGGAGCTTATAGCCAGCAGGGCTGCTGCAACAAACAGCTGTGCAAGCCTTTGGGAGGCAGAGACAGGAGAGGGCATCCGAGGAGGAGGGAAGGAAGGAAGGAGGGACAGAGGCCAGTGTTGCCTATGGCACCCCTGACCATCATTCAAGACACCCAAGGGTGCCACGGCACACTGGCTGAAAACCACTGGCATAGCAGTTTGGGAATGAAACGTCTCAATCACAGTTGTTTTAAATTTCTGTTGACCTCAAGTGCTCAGTAAAATCTGCCACAATATTTCTAAAATTTTAGTTACAGTGGTACCTCGGGTTACAGACGCTTCAGGTTACAGATGCTTCAGGTTACAGACTCCACTAACCCAGAAATAGTGCTTCAGGTTAAGAACTTTGCTTCAGGATGAGAACAGAAATCGTGCTCCGGCGGCGCAGCGGCAGCAGGAGGCCCATTAGCTAAAGTGGTGCTTCAGGTGAAGAACAGTTTCAGGTTAAGTACAAAGCTCCGGAACGAATTAAGTACTTAACCTGAGGTACCACTGTATTTTTATTTACTTGGGGTGAACCCTCCCACCCAGTCTGGAAGCTCCCCAACTTTCCCGGCTGCGCTAGGAGCCTTCTTTATCCTTCACACGTGCCAGCCTATATAAGCATCCTCGTTACTCACAGGACTGATGCGGAAAGCAACTTCCAGGAACACCTGCTTTCAGGGCAGGTGCATTTTGGGTTGCTAGGAGACGGAGGGCGGGCGAAGGATGCCGCCCACAGCGCCAAAAAAAGCCTTGAAGCCTTGAAGCCTTGGACGGGGCGGAGTCCCGGCTGCAAGGAACCGACTGGGCGAGTCGGCGCTGCAGAAGGGCGCCGATCCACTGGATCCGCCTTGGGGTTTTACAGGGAACCCGATCGGAAGCAAATCGTGCCGCCCAGAAGAGCAGCCGCGGGCCAGCAAGCGCTGCGAGGCCGGCAGCCGTCGGCGCGGGGAGAGGTTTTCATAGTGACCCCCATTATCACGCCACAACTTTCCCTGCAGGGCGGCGGGCGGCACGGGGGAAGGGAATCGGGCCGGGGCTGCTGCTGATTTCATTTTTTTTTAAATGATATTTATTAAAATTTCAAAAGAAAAAAATTACATTAATAAGAAAAATAACAATAAAGAAAGAAAAATACAAAATACAAAAAAGAAAAAACAGTTCAAAACAATTCCATCTTTTCATCACTTCTCTTACGTTTACTTGTTTCCCGGACCTCCTCATACCTCCCTCTTTTGTATTCCAATTCAATTTGTTAGTCCAGCAATTCCTTTCCCTCCTTTTTAATCCTGATCTTTACTCTTGATATATTATAACATTAATTTTTACGTATTAAAAACCCATTTTTCCATATTCTTTTATACCAATACAGCTAGAAACCACTTAACTTCAATCCAACATCATTCTAACATTCATTAATTTTGCAATATTTCTGTAAATAGTCTTTACATTTCTTCCAATCTTCTTCCACCGACTCTTCTCCCTGATCTCGGATTCTGCCAGTCATTTCCGCCAATTCCATGTAGTCCATCAACTTCATCTGCCATTCCTCCAGTGTGGGTAAGTCTTGTGTCTTCCTGATTTCAAGGAGGCATCTGCCGTCGCAGCGTTTCCGGGCCCAGATCAGGGCTGGAGGGAACCTATCCGAGCATTACCCTTCTCCAAACGGTGCCCCCGGCGCGCTGAGTCCCGTCCGCCGAATGCGAGAGGCGCGGAGCCCGGCAGGAGGCAGACCCGGGGAGCCGCAGCCGGACGGGCAAAATCGTTGCGCTGCGAGGGACCTTGGGATTCCCTTAAGGGCCAGTAAATCAGAGCTTTTTTTTTTTTTTTAAATGATATTTATTAAAGTTTCAAAAAATACAAGAAATACAGAATAAAAAAAAAAGGAATAAAGTTTTTTTAAAAATATAAACAAAGAAGTAAAAAATAAAAAGAAACATACCAAATAAAACAATTAAAAGGACATTAAATTTCCATAACCTATCTTCCTTATACTTATTTCCCCGGACCTCCTCATACCTCCCTTTTTTGTATTCCAGTTCAGTTTGTTAGTTCAGCAAATCCTTACCACTGAAATTACCCAGTTGCAAACCTTTTTTCATATCTCTTAAAGCATTACAGCTAAAAAACCCTTAGTTTCTATCCAACATCCTTCTAAGATTCCTTAATTTTACAATATTTCTGTAAATAGTCTTTAAATTTCTTCCAATCTTCTTTCACCGTCTCTTCTCTCTGGTCTCGGATTCTGCCAGTCATTTCCGCCAGTTCCATGTAGTCAATCACCTTCATCTGCCATTCTTCCAGAGTGGGTAGATCTTGTGTCTTAAATCAGAGCTATTCCCCCTGGCCTTTAATTTGAACTTAGCCTGATCTTTTATTCCCCTTCCTTCCCTCCCCCTCCCCTTTTTATGAAGATTACCCTCTCTGGATCCCACAGCTAATTCTCCCCTGGTCTCCTCGCTGGCCCAAATAGGACTAATTTAGCCAGCTAGCCCTGGTGATCATCTAATGTTTATTGGATGGATTTCCCCCCTAAATTGATTTTTGAATTCTGAATTTATTGTTATTCACGTTTTATATGGTATTTTATGCTGTTTTTTGTTGCATCAATTAAGTGTTTTAAATTTGTTAGCTGCCCCGAGACCGGTTTTCTGAACGGGGAAGGGTGGGGTATAAATAAATTTATTATTATTATTATTATTAAGGCCAGCCTTCAAGTGGAGAGTTGACACTCGGCCTGTCCCTGCCATCGCTACTTGCTGCGCGGGATCCTGAGCAGCGCCGGATTTACGTGTAAGCTAAACAAGCTATAGCTTAGGGTCCCACTCTCATGGGGTCTCCCGAAAAGTGTAAAGGAAAAAAACCACTGGATGTACATTTCCAAAATATAAGATAAAAAACAAATAAAATAAAACCTACACACAGCAACAGTGTTTGTGTTGTGTAGGCTCCAATGATGTAAGTCGTGGGCCCTGCCTGGTAGCCTGCTTCCTAAAATATCCCTGGTTTGCTCATTTCTGTATCAAATACTTTGATAAAATACATATTTTGTTATGTGCAAATGGCTTTCGGTACCTATTAGGTCCTTAAATTACCATATAGCATATATTCAACACAAAAAACAGCGACAATTTGTTGTTGACAAAGGACACCTGAACACATAAAGGGTCCCATTACCTTCAGTAGCTGAGGGCCTCATCAAACCTAAATCTGGCCCTGATCCGAGTCAGAAGTTTTAGATGCCAAAATACAACCCGGCCCCAAAGTTTTGGTGTTTATTTAGCTTTGAGGGTGCCTTACTTGCTCGGCGTTGGAATTAAGTAACGGGCCTTTATTAGAAGCCAGGCTTGTGGGACGTGTTCCTTGAGGTTGGTGCAATGTCTTTATTAAATCCCTAGAAACCCCTAAATCTCTATACACACAGCAACCATGAGAACAAAGCAGTGGGAGATGGGAGTGCAGGATCTCACCGTTGGCTCAGCTGAGAGATCAGCAACTTTTGGCTCTTCCACTCCTTTCAACTTCTTCCATTCTGACTCATTAATAATATAATAGTAATTTATTATTTGTACCCCAGCCACTCTGGGCGGCTTCCACAAAGACCAAAAATACACTAAGATGTCACACATTAAAAACTTCCCTGAACAGGGCTGCCTTAAGATGTCTTCTGAATGTCAGGTAGTTGTTTATCTCTTTGACATCTGATGGGAGGGCATTCCACAGGGCGGGTGCCACCACTGAAAAGGCCCTCTGCCTGGTTCCCTGTAGCTTTGCTTCTCGCAATGAGGGAACCGCCAGAAGGCCTTCGGTGCTGGACCTCAGTGTCCAAGCAGAACAATGGGGGTGGAGACGCTTCTTCAGGTATACTGGGCCGAGGCCATTTAGGGCTTTAAAGGTCAACACCAACACTCTAAATTGTGCTCGGAAACGTACTGGGAGCCAATGTAGGTCTTTCTAGACCAGTGTTACGTGGTCTTGGTGGCCAGCCCCAGTCACCAGTCTAGCTGCCGCATTCTGGATTAGTTGTAGTTTCCGGGTCACCTTCAACAGTAGCCCCATGTAGAGCGCATTGCAGTAGTCCAAGCAGGAGATAACTAGAGCATGCACCACTCTGGCGAGACAGTCCGCGGGCAGGTAGGGTCTCAGCCTGCGTACCAGGTGGAGCTGGTTACAAGAACTTTGTAACTAAGAACCAGTGATTGGGTTTCCTTTTTTCCTCCTCCCTACCAACCCATTTTCCTTGAGTGTTGCTTTTAGATTATAAAATGGAAGGCAGAGATTGTCTTACAGATATTTGTAAGCCCTGCTGGGAGGAGCCTTGCTTTGGTTGAAGTGTAGGGTAAAGATCCTTAAAATAAAGCAGAAATCTAAAAAAATCATTTAGGATTTGATGTAGAAACTACAAAACGTGTTTTCCATGTTTAGCAAAAGGTAATATTTATTACATGTCAACATTACATTATTGCACACGTGATTGATGATTAATAGTTACAATCTCTTAAGCTACTGCTAACAAAAATTTACTTCCAATTTGTGCATTAGGCATTTAAATACATTGTACTTTCATAGTACTGAAGTGCACACTTTCATAAAACACAGAATATACAACATTTCTAAAAATATTAAGATGTAAGAATACCGCAATACCATTTTTACACAGTACTGTCTACATTCAGTGTCCTCTTCGTTCATTAAGAAGCAGTCAAATACTGGGGCTGTTCTCCATATGGAATTTTTGATTGCACTAGCCCAAAATTTCCACAGGGTAGAAATGCAGCAGTCCTAAGCAACGGTTCTGATAGTCTCAGACATGCTCTTAGTCACTGGCCTGGTTTGCACAGTACATTAAGCCATGGTTTAATGTAAATGAGCTTCACACTGGTACACACTCTATGTAGTGCTTATTCTTTATTCCTGTTACCGACACACCAAATGAAACAAGCCAGAGTCTAACTTCTTGTCACCCAAAGCCAGCCTCATGTTTGTTCCCTTAAAACCAACCATGATCACTAAGTTTGTTTGGGAGGAAACAAACCCCAAACCTCAGTTTGGAAAAATTTCTTTTGAGTCCTGAATCTTCCAACATACTGCTACATAAGAAGCACATGAGTTCTAGTGCGCCAACATGCCAAAGTTGCACAGAACCGTCTTCCCCTCTTTCCAGCATTTTTTTAAGTTGCACGTTTGGTAAAAAAGGTAAAGGACCCGTGGACGGTTAAGTCCAGTCAAAGGCGACTATGGGGTTGCAGCGCTCATCTTGCTTTCAGGCCGAGGGAGCCGGTGTTTGCACACAGTTTACCTAGTTGCACATTTAATTTACTATGTAGGAAAAGCCTGCCTTGAGCTTTTTCAAGGAAGTCTGCAAGGCAGGGATTCCACAGCTCACCAGTTTGCTCCACTGCAGAACTGTCCTCACAGTTAAGATTCCCGCACTCCCAATGTTTAACTTAAACGCCAAGGCCTGAATGGACAGAACTGTGGCAGCTGATAAGGTTATTGCACTAGTAATCTTGCACTGAAACACATGTACCATCCTCCCAACACTGCATATCCCTCTCACATCAAGCATAGCGTGAATGCCTGTCTATATAAGATAACTGCCAGCGTTAGAACATTAGTTATACAAAGCCTTATGAAATACTGGGGTGAAAAAATGGCTCTGAGTTTTCTCAAACTAATAAAACAGCCACCACCTTCTTATGTGCAACAGTATGTTAGCTGGAAGATGATATAAACAGGCTTGTTTTTTTAAAAAAATCATTCTTAATATGAAACATAATAAATCTCATTAAAATAAAAACAGTAGGTTTTTTTTTTAAAAAAAGAAATTACTCCTCCCTCCCTACTTGAACAGTCATTATCAACATTCAAAGTTGGTTTTACAAGTAAGATGTTTTGTTCTTATTTAGGTTGAAATTTGAAGACTTCTTAAAATTAACTCAGGCCACAAGCTGTTAGGGTAACAAAATCACATCACCCAGAAAAAATAGTGTCCTCTGCTGCTTGACAGGAACATAAAAATAAAATATCTAGACTTAGGAAATGTAGGGAGTGGTTTTAGAATTAGCTTCAGAATATTTTTAAACTGATTAAAACAAGCAACATCAAAGATTCTGCATTACCTTCTTTAAAATCACAGTGACTACATTGTTCCTTAAAATATTAGTGACTTTCCTAGTGGCAAACAAAAATTATTAATGCCTCTTAGAATAACATAGGATGGTGGGAGAGAAGAGGGGGCAGAATATCTGCATGTGTATGGTGTCTGAAATGCAGATTAGATTGCAATCCTAACCCTACTTACTTGGGAGTAAGTCCCATTGAATTCAAGAGGACTTACTTCAAAGTAGATATTGTTAGGATTGCACTGTGACTCGCCTCAACTCTATTAGATCATATGCCCCTCAAAATTCACACTTAACATTTGAAGAGAAAGTACTAAAAATACTTTGTAAAATTCTAGTACTTGGTAGGATTAGTTTTGCCTTAAATCATGCATTAATGTTAGGCCTACAGTACTGGAATTCCTTCAAATCCAAGATTTAAAAAGTAGCCATATGGCCTTAATACAATATTTTTCAGTCTTGTAAAGAACTGTCAGGAGCTTTTTGCAGATTGAAATTTGAAGAGGTATCTTACAGTAAACCTAAGTGTTCTGAGCTTCTGCAGACCAATTCCTCTCCACACTCTTAAACCCAAAATATGCAAGGGCTAGAATTTAACACACAGATTACACTTTCAAAACACAGTACTTTTATTCTCCTGGAAAGGCAGCTGTATATTACAAAGCCTAAAGATGTGAAAACACACACACCGAGTGATTACTCCAGAAAGCATTTTTGTGGTCTTAAAAGTTAACAGTCCTGATGTTTTAAATGTTAAAGCTTTCTCCACAACCACATGTTCCTTTGATGTTTGGGTTATTGAAAACAAATTCACTGGACAGTTTGTCTTCTATATAGTCCATTTCAGTTCCTAGAAGTGTGAGTTGTGCTTTCTTTTCAATAAACACTCTAACACCTTGACAAAAAGAAGAAGAAACAATTATGAGATTTGAAAGAGAGCAAATTCTGGATTCCCCCCCAGCCCATGCAAAATATTTGTGAACAGCTAATCCTGTCCTAGCATGCATCAAGACACATTATTTCACCCAGAGACAAGCCACAAACACCTGAGGCCTGTTGCACTACAGTTTAACACCCCACTCCACAAATTAGATTGCAACCGTTGCATGGTTGCCCTGTTCTAACTGCAGAAAAAGTGCTTTCTTCGTAATTTAGCATAATTCTAGTCAGCTTGAGTTGATGCCATCTATTAGTGGTTTATTTTCAATCTCTTTTAAATGTCTTGGCAGTGTCAATTCTGATGGACCATTTTTGTCCATTCAAAGCTGTGATTCAAAGCATAAACTTAGAAGTGCTGCTACAGTATGTGAAACTTACCACATAAGAAGCACATTCAAATATTAGACCTTTAATGGCTAGTTACAGAAATCAAGTCTGACTGGCGACAGCACCAAGTTTATTTGAGAGAAAGTCAATTTATCAATGAAGTGAATTAGGGTTACCTTTTAATTTACAGACACCAAGTTTAGTGAGAAACATGCACAACTGAGATTAAATGGCATTAACAATATTTTAGAGGAGTAAAAAAGGACTTACAATTATCTCTGGGATACCAAAACACACTTACCATCCTGTACTACTTCCTCATCAGAGTCCCCTTTTGATTTTGTGTATTCTAATGTATAAGAAAGTCCATTACAGCCTCTAGTACGGACACCAACTTTAACGCCTACCTGAAACGTAAGTTTAAAAAACCAGTAAGAAAACATTTTTAATTAATCTAAAAAATTCATAGCATCAGCAGAAATAGAAATTGTTTTCAAACATGCATAACCTCAGCTAATATGAGTAGTACATTTACGCTGCTGCACGAAGTAGAATCATAAAATATAAAAAAATGTTTTTTAAAATGGTAGAGAATGTTAATACAGGAAGCCTACAAGGCAACAGTCAATTAATCTACTAAAATTTCATGTCTGCATAGAAACGAAAGCCTGACATTCTCTGGTCTCCCAATCAGTAAAAAGTAATCGAGTTTCAGTGACGTAAACAATTTGTGCATGATTCAAGCCCGGTAGATTTCATAAGTTGCATCCAACTGTATCCATCTGCTGATAGGTTTTTTTAATCCAGGAGATGCTTGTCTAAGTGTAAAAGGGAAGTGGTGATATTTTTTGCCAATTCTACCTTTCCTTTACAGTCCCCAGCACCCCTTCCCCCAAAACCTTCTGCAGAAATTTGAAATACCCTTTGAAACAGCAGAGGAGGTGGTGCAGGGGGTTATAGGAACATAGAAAGCTGTCATACAGAGTCAGACCATCGTCCATCTGGCTCAATGTTGTCTATCCTGAATGACTGCAGATCTCCAGGCAGAGTTCTCTCCCAGCCTTAACTGAAGATGCCAGGGATTGAACATGGAACCTGCTTATAAAATGGATTCTCTTCCGCTAAGCCTCAGCCCTTCTCCAATGGAATCTGCAAGCAAGCAAGCAATCCACACATTTCCTGCTTTCAAATGGAAGCTTTTGCTGGATCTAAGAGCCTTCTAGCAGCAGTGGGACACAACTGGATACATCCCAACAGCACCAGCTTTTTAAGGACTGGGACAATGGACTTAATAATGAATGAATCACATGTTATCCCAGACATTCTCACATGATATCAAGAAGCTCAGTACGTTTCACTATATTTTTAATACATGTGAAAAACAACAGTGAGGCTTCATCACTATCAATATGCAACAGACTCTAAAACCATTTTCACCAGGAACAGCATTGCCTTTCTCCACTGTTGAACATGCAGTTGCTAGATTAGTACAGTTTCAAATTTAAAATACAAATTCACTCTATTTTACAACGTATTAATTCAAAGGGTATCTGCTAGAACTATAACAAACAGCAGCACATGTAAACGAATATTAAACAGATGAGTAATGTCAGGCATACTCTCCATCTCTACTTACATGGTCAGGTTTGTCTTTAAGCAGTTGTTTTATCTTCTGCACAGCAGATGGGGTCTGAAAGGTTTTTAGGAATAGCTTTGGATTAGATGAATACTCAGCTGCATCTTGTTATCTTAAATCAAAACCTGTTTTTCCCCACCACTTTAAGAGCCTAGGTTCAGTACAAATTCTCATATCCCCACGATAAACAGCTCATACTATCAATGAACAGCAACTATTTGATTTCTTGATATTTTAGGATTAGGTTGTAACTAGAGATCTGTGAAGTTCACTTGGTTTACTTCAAAACTGGGCTCAGCAAACAACAGAACTCCTCAGCAACTCTAGTTTTATCAAGCACAATCCCAAAATTTGGTTGCCACACTTCCAACGGCATAACATGGTCTCAATCCACACCCCCATCTTTGAGTCCAGCCCAAACTCTCCTTTCCTTTCCATTTCCCTAATTTGATGGCAAGTAGGATACCTCAATCCCTGGATGCTGCAAGGCAACTTCCCAGGCACCTGAGAAAAATAGTTTCCCCAAATCCTTAAGATAGACATCAGGTGTCCTGGAGACTACTATGTTGCTGCTGTAACACACAAAGTGCACAGAGGGAGACACATCAGCTCAGATAATAAACAGAGCACAAGAACAACTTTCTGGAGAGATGTTGCTTTGTATGAAATTAGAATGAGCATTAAGAGTTGGATAAATTTGTAATCCAAACCAAGTAACTATGAACTTAAGTAATGCCACTAGTTCTAAACATCTTCAATTACATAAATAAGGTGACTTTCTGGGACAGATTCTACTCTGATTACCCCTAATTGTCACAAACACTGCAGCACAGAAACCAATGCAAATTTCTGAGAAAAGAATAAACTTCAGTAAAGTATAAAAAAGGAATCAACTGTCAGGAATAAATCACCCCGAGTAAGCGAAGCTAACTCTTCATTAGAAGAAACAAGGTCAGTTCAAAAGTGCTAGGCTTAATGAGCACAGCAATTATTTGGTAGGTCTTGCCCCTGAGAGGCAGTTGCAGAGGCTAACGATCCCAGCCTTCCCACAACTACCTAAATCTCCTCCTCTCCTGGGTCCTTCCCAAGCAATCTGAAACTTCGCCATTGCACCTGTCTCTGTTCCTCCCTTTTCATACCTCCTTTGGTCCCGGGAGACCAGGGGAGGAGGGCAGCCTGTCACAGCAGCAGGAGGAGACACCCTGGATTCTTCACCAGCCTGACTCATCTCTGCCTCTTGGCCTCCATCCTCTCCTGCTTCCACTTCTGCTTCTCTCTGTCACAGACTCTCCCTGCTCACTAAACCCTGTTCCCTCTTCCGACACCTCTAACCAACTGAGCTTATCCAGGCTGACATCCTCCTCTCAAGTCTTCTCACTCTGACCACTCACTGTCATCCCACCACCAATCCCCAGGCTCTGAGCCATCATTCCTTGGGGGCTCTCTAGCTGGTGCCTCTCACCATTCCTTGATGTCCAGCCAGTCCATGACATCAACCGCTCAACCTGTATATGCTAATCATAGTTAACAGCTTACCATGAAGAACACACTGATCTTGACTACTTTGCTCCTTCCTGCTACCAAACAGGAAGAACAAACCACGATCTTGGGCATAGTGTTATATCCAATTCAGGTGACAAAACAAGCCACATTTGTTCTTGCCTTACTGACTATGGTTGCTGACTACCCAACCAATCTGTTTAAGTTGGCAGGGGGAGAGAAGGGTCAGGCACAAGGAGGCCAAGGAATGAACCTAGCAGGTGCCATCCTGCTCCCCTGCATGCACTCCTCAAAGAAGTTGTCCAGAATACGAAAAGAGGGTTTATGAAGGAAGGAAGAAAAAACATGCTATGCTACTCATACTGCGTTTGGCCTGTGAAAAAAAAATCCTTTCTCATATTCTTCCCCCACTTTGTAAAAAGAAAGAGAGATTCCAATTATCAGACACAGAGGATGACTATGCTACATTTTCAATGGTTGCATGTAACATATTCAGTGGCTGGAACTTGTCTGAAGAGCCCTATGTATTCTGTTTAGGGAAGTTTTTAATATTTGATGTTTTATCGTGTCTTGAATATTCTGTTGGCAGAGTGGCTGAGGAAACCCAGCCAGATGAGCAGAGTACAGTGGTACCTCGGGTTAAGAACTTAATTCATTCTGGAGGTCTGTTCTTCACCTGAAACTGTTCTTAACCCGAAGCACCACTTTAGCTAATGGGGCCTCCCGCTGCTGCCATGCGATTTCTGTTCTCATCCCGAACTAAAGTTCTTAACCCGAGGTACTATTTCTGGGTTAGCAGAGCTGTAACCTGAAGTGTCTGTAACCCGAGGTATCACTGTATAAATAATAAATTGATACTATTATTACTATTATGTATCTGGTCCACCTTAGCGGAAACAGGACTTTCCCAAGTAAATTCCTTTAAGGCAAAGGCTTGGGAACCAACGAGAGTGCATGGGGGGGCCGCCTAAATTATATAATTTGGTACCTGAATGATTGGTATTAGTAACTGTATTATAATTTGGCATTGTTATTATGAGGCTATTATTGGACTGTACTGTAATTGAAAACTAATAAAAATTCTATTTTACACACACAGAGATAACCTGCAGGAGCAGAGCAAGATCTCCTTCCCTCCTGTGGCGAATGGCGTCTCCCAACACAGGCAAGGAGGGGAAACGCTTCACCCTGCGAACTTCCGCCTGCCACCCCCAGCTCGTGATGTGCCCCTCCCCCAACCCCACTCACAGCCCCTGGAACACGCCGCAACTGCGCCTGCGCAGTCCTCTTGTTTACCGGCCAGCGGAGGGTCGAGAAGCCCCGCCCCCAAGCGAAAGGTGAGGTGCGCGCGCACCCCCCCTTCCCCCACCCCGCCCCTCAAGGACTGACCAGTGTGAGGGCGGCTCTAGTGGCCTGAATCTTCCTCTTGCTCACGGCCCGAACGGTGGCTCTGACCATGGAAGAGGCCATCTCTCCCGCTCCGCCCTGTCAGCCCCGTCCTCCGAGGTTGTCCATGGACACGGCGCACGGAGCGACGCGCAGCTCGACGTCACGGCGCGCGGGTGGCGTCACTGGCGGGGGCGGGAGCTTAAGGACGGCGCGCTCCTATTGGGTACGCAGCGGGCCGGTGGGAAGTCCGCCGTGAAGGAGGCGTCTCGCGCGCTCTCTCTCCTCCCCCCACGTCCTTCTCAGGATGGCTGACCAATCAGCGGAGAGAGGAGCAGCGGGAGAGGCGGGAAGAGTTCGATTCCGGCCCTTGAGGAGAGAGAGCGCGAGCGGCTCGCCCGCTGCGGAGGGATACGAGGCCGAGGGGCGCCGGGATTAGTTCTCTGCGCGGAGGTGTAATACTGAGGAGGACGTACTTGGAGACATTACAATAGGAAAAACAAAACATTTGCTTTGTCTTATTTAAAACTCCCCCCACGCGCATTGAGGTCCGTCAGAAACCCAGGTTGCATTCTTTCATTTTGGGGTGCTTCAATCTTTGGTACACTTTACTTGGGAGTAAATCCCATTCAATGCAGTGAGACTAGCCTTTGAGCAAAGGTATAATAATAATAATAGTAATAATAATAATAATAATAATAATAATAATAATAATAATTTATTATTTATGCCCCGCCAATCTGGCAGGGTTTCCAACAAAACACTAAAATACAATAACCTATTAAACATTAATTTTGGAGGAGACTCTTGAGAGTCCCATGGACTGCAAGAAGATCAAACCTCTCCATTCTTAAGGAAATCAGCCCTGAGTGCTCACTGGAAGGACAGATCCTGAAGCTGAGACTCCAAGACTTTGGCCACCTCATGAGAAGAGAAGACTCCCTGGAAAAGACCCTGATGTTGGGAAAGATTGAGGGCACAAGGAGAAGGGGACGACAGAGGACGAGATGGTGGTTGTGATATTACTCGGAGTAAATCCCATGCAATGCAGTCTGATCCAACCTGTGAGCAAGGCAGTAGTAATGACTTAGGATGCGCCTGGCGCGCATCTGGTCCATGGGGTTCCCGAAGCCAGTCTGGACATCGACTAAACGACTAAACAACAACAACATTAAACATTAAAAGCTTCCCTAAACAGGGCTGTCTTCAGATGTCTTCTAAAAGTCTGGTAGTTGTTTTTCTCTTTGACATCTGGTGGGAGGGTGTTCCACAGGGTGGGTGCCACCACCGAGAAGGCTGGTTCCCTGTAACTTGGTAGAATGAGCTGCACTCTTAAGAACATACCGTATTTTGGCATCTCATTCAATAGGATTGTTGAATAAATTAACTGAGAGGCCTTTTGACCAATTGTAGTAAATGGTAAAGGACCCGTGGATGGTCAAGTCCAGTCAAAGGCGACTCGGGGGTTGCGACGCTCATCTCGCTTTCAGGCGGAGGGAGCCAGTGTTTGTCCACAGTCAGTTTTCTGGGCCATGTGGCCAGCAGGACTAAGCCGCTACTGGCGCACGGAGGACCATGACGAGTGCCAGAGCGCAGGGAAATGCCATTTACCTTCCCGCCACAGTGGTACCTATTTATCTACTTGCACTGGTGTACTTTCAAACCGCTAAGTTGGCAGAAGCTGGGACAAAGCAACGGGAGCTTCACTCCGTCGCAGGGATTCAAACCGCTGACCTTCTGATCAGCAAACCCAAGAAGCTCAGTGGTTTGGACCACAGAGCCACCCGTGTCCCACTGCCAATTGGAGAATCATGAATTCAGCATCAATAAGTTTTGGCAGACTGACTCCATTTCTTCAGGTCCGGTGTTGATTTTAGTTCCCGCAGCTTTCCGGAAAGCACTCCCTGTATTAGTTTGCACAATCCATCCAAGACGAGGATATGCAAAAAAGTTATTTGACCCAGGTTGCAATACCTGCTAAACTATTCCTGATGTAGGTGGAGCGGGATCCTTTCTGGGTTCTGGAATTTGGCCTCTGAACCTAGTGCCTTGTTTGGGGCTAAAGCTCCCATCCTTTCTGATCACCACCTATGCTGGCTGAGGCTAACAGGAGTTATGATCTAAAATATTTAAAAAACACCAGGCTGGGGCAGACTGCTGTTAACAGACATCCTTTATTCTACAGCTATCTTTGAACCACAGATTCCAGAAGAAAGCCAGTTTGCTGGGTCATAAAGGAGCTTATATGAACAAGGTTCCCCTTTGGAAACACTACTTTGAGGGCATCTGTCAAAGATGGCGTGAAAACCTATTAAACAGAACTAAGTTCTACTATGATCTAAAGATATTGGGGACGTGTGATTAGAAATGCTTCACAGTAATTTTTATACTTCCACCAGTTGACCAGAGAGATTTTGACATACAACACAGTGACTAAACTTACTAAACGTTTGCAAATTGTATAACAACCTCCGCATAGCAGGTCAACTGCTCAGATGCTTACTTAAATGTACAGTGTCAGGAATTGTGAGAAAAAGCCTGAAGTACAACCAAATGCAGAAATTGTCTATCTGTGCTGTAGTACTTTAAATAGCAGACACTTGGACGCATGTCCATCCCACTGAAAGTGATATTCCAAGGATGAGTAACTTCTGATTTCTGTCTACCTGATTTCCATTGACTCATCTCCAGATCAGAGATTGTCAGTGAAGCCGATTACTTAATGTTTTACATCCTGTGAAAAGCCAAACCAACTCTGAAAAATTATTAGCTTCAACTGGAATACCTGTAACAGTTTATAGTGCAAGAGGGAAGCAAGCTGCTCTTACTGGACTTTTCCCTCCACACCACAAGGCCATTCTTACCACCAACTGCTCTGTAGGAACGATCCGGATGACTTGTTATATGAGGACATTGTTCTCTCTTTTTTTAAAAAAAATGTAAAGTCTAATGTTTTGTGCAACCTGCCTTGGAAGGATATATTGAAAGGATGAGTAACTAATAAATAAGACTAAATCTTCTTTATGATTCATACAATACAAAAAAAGGAACTTTAAAGTTTTCACTTGGTTGGTTTATTTCAAGGTCATAAATAACAGTGGCCTAATTTTTTGTTGTATATTTTTCCTGGAAAGGGTATGTTGTACCATATACAGAAAACCTGACAATAAGCCTTGATGACAATAAAAAAGCAAATCCTTGTCTACTTCGTGGATCTTCTTCACTTTTCAATAAAGCAGAAGTGGATTCATTTTAACTGCCAAATATACCTCTTGTTTCCTTATAGGAGTTTTGTGTTTTTGTGTGTTTTGCAGACAATGGGAAAATATTACAGCAGCAGCAAACAGAACCAGCCTCTCAGCCTCTCTGTACAGAAGCACAGCAGCATATCAAACCATAAAACAACAAAGGGAAGAATTCATTCAGTGGCACAGCTTTTCTACAGAGATTTTACATAAAAGTTTGCTTACGTCCATGTGTTAGCTCCCCACAGATTAAAATATTTGCAAATATGGCAGTAGCAATCCAGAAACATTTCAAAACACTTTTACGCAAGGAATCAGTAAATGATCATAATTAATAAATACCCTTTTAACCCTTCAAATATAATATTTTGAAGGAGACACTATATTTGGCTTGCACATCATTTAAGTGCACTCAAAACATTCTGATTGAATGTAGAAACTCTTAGAAGTGGTTTGAGTTAGGAACCTCCCTGATCTACATGTTTTACCTAGTAAATACAAAAACATGGTTTTCTATTAAAATGCTCATCTATTAAGAGCTGGGATTCATGGTATGAACAAACATTAAAATCCATTGCTTTTTATCTTTAGCAATTTAATTAAAATAAAATGTGTTTTCTTTAAACTTATATTGAAGACTGTTTGTGCTGCTGTTTTGTGAACCTGGAGGCTATAAAGAAAATAAACATTTAAGGAAATGGACGGTCTGTATTGCAACGTAAGATTGCTTCGATCCCTCATGAATCTTGATGAGGCCTCTTCTGCGAAGCTTTTCCCTGAGTCATATATTTACTGGAAAGGCTGCCTGTATATGGGGAGAAAGACCACAAAAATGAGTAAATAGGTAGAAACCAAACTAGTTAATTTTTTAGTAACATATGTTTTTAGGTTACAATGATGCAAACTCAGCAGAGCCAAGAAAAACGGGGCACTTGGACACTTCCAAGTCTATTCCAAGCTACCCACCATGTCTTTGACTGTAACCTCCTGTTACACATCTACACTAAAGCACCGTCTTTGTTTTCTCTAAGCATGTCTCTGTCATGATCTCAAGGTATATTTATCCAGCGGCACCAGCATGCCTCCACTTCTGTATTCCTTTCTTTGGTCTGTTACTTCTGCCCATACATTCCGTCACTAAATTTGTTTCTCTTGAAGTTTCCAATCTAGCGCTTCATACAAAGCCTCTGTAGATGTCAAATATTGCAGCAGCTATTGGAAAGCTCCAAGTATCCCATTCTTTGTTGAAGTGCTTGAGTGGTGGTGGCCGTGCAAATGCAGGCATTCTGGGATAAGACTTTGTCTGGATCTATTTCAACTGGTTTTGTTATTTACTAGTGCTGTCTTGATCACTCTGATGGAAGGAGAGGGGACCCCAACTCTGTTGGTTCTTCTAGACCAGGGTGGGGAACACACCCACCTAACCCACACCTGATACAACATGACACCAAGAGTGGGACAGGTATATAATAATAATAATAATAATAATTTATGATTTATACCCCACCCATCTGGCTGAGTCTCCCCAGCCACTCTGGGCAGCTCCTAATCGAGTGTTAAAAACAATACAGCATTAAATATTAAAAACTTCCCTAAACAGGGCTGCCTTCAGATGTCTTAAAAATAGGATAGCTGCTTATTTCCTTGACATCTGATGGGAGGGCATTCCACAGGGCAGGCACCACTACCAAGAAGGCCCTCTGCTTGGTTCCCTGTAACCTCACTTCTTGCAGTGAGGGAACTGCCAGAAGGCCCTTGGAGCTGGACCTCAGTGTCCGGGCTGAACGATGGGGGTGGAGATGCTCCTTCAGGTATACAGGACCATTTAGGGCTTTAAAGGTCAGCACCAACACTTTGAATTGTGCTCGGAAACGTACTGGGAGCCAATGCAGATCTCTCAGGACCAGTATTATGTGGTCCCGACGGACACTTCCAGTCACCAGTCTAGCTGCCGCATTCTGCATTAATTGCAGTTTCCGGGTCACCTTCAAAGGTAGCCCCACAGGTAAAGATGTGACTGGTGGAGTGCTATGCAAGGGACTTGTGAAGAATGCTCCAGTACACCAAACGACCAGCTGATTCTCATGCGTGCAGAATGCTATGCGTAGGCCAAGCCTAGTTCACAAACCTGATTGGGGACTCAAGAATATTCTTCCTTTCTGTTTCTTTTTTTCTTCTTGTAAAAGCAGTCCCTTAAAAAGAAAAGCCAGGAGTGACCATTTGAAGATACTTATTGCAAGATGTAATAGCAGCATAACATTTAAAATAAGAATTGTGCTATGCGGCCAAAAGTTAATTTTTTACTTTAAAATAAATAAATCACACGTGGTAACTGTTTACCTGATTCAATCGACCAGAATGCTTAACAGCACTGGATAAAGGGGACCCACATGGACTTTCCAACTTCAAGGCACCTAGGAAAGTTAAAATCTAATGAGATTAAAATTTACCTTACAAGAAAAATCTACTTTGGAAAAATCCACCTATTAATTGGAACAGTAAAAAGCATGCCAAAGGTCAACTTTCAAAATATTTTTTTTCTTCCTTCAGGGCAGTTCTGATTTATTTATTTTTTAAAAAATAAAAATAAATTCCCCCACCCGCTGGCTTTGTATTTGACAACCACGAAGGCTGCCATTTGAAGTAGGGGCTTTCCTTGCTCCCATTGAAAATATCACATACAGTGGTGCCTCGCAAGACGAAATTAATCCGTTCCGTGAGTCTCTTCGTCTTGCGGTTTTTTCGCCTTGCGAAGCACGGCTATTAACGGCCTAGCGGCTTTAAGAAAAAGGAAACAAACTCGCAAGAACTCGCAAGACGTTTCGTCTTGCGAAGCAAGCCCATAGGGAAATTTGTCTTGCGGAACGACTCAAAAAACGGAAAACTCTTCCGTCTAGCGAGTTTTTCGTCTTGCGAGGCATTCGTCTTGCGGGGCACCACTGTATCTTAGGCTGCTTTTACTCTCTCTCTCTCTCTCTTCCTTGGGGGGGTGGGGACAGCTTTGGTGGGGGAGCTTTTCAACAAGGAAATGGCATAAAGGGAAATGGTTAAAAAGCTACCAGCCACTCCTAGGAATCCAACAAAACATCTGAAAACATTTACTCTCTCTACTGAAAAGTATTTCAGAACCACAACTTTAGAAAAGTTTTATGGGACAATTTACTGCATTCATCCGTTGTGGGAGGAGGGGGAACTAATTGTTTTGATAATGTTACGCTTAAGCTTATATCCTGTTTCTTGAATTTTTTTAAAAAAAACATCATATTGGTTGCCCTCGTCTGCAAAGAAAAGAAAAGAGAAGAGAAAAGAAAAGAAGCCCACAAGTGTCACTAAAATTCCCAGTTGACCTTAAAGCATATTTTTAGTACCATGAACACTATTATTGTTGGGCTGAGTACCTGCAGCTCCTTTGTGCTGAGGGCACTCTTTTTTAATATGTCCTTCCCTTCCACAAATAAAGCAACGCTTTTCTCTGTCTTCCTGTCGCTTCCATTTCTCTGCTGGCTGCTTGGGTGTCTTCTCTTTTGCAGTTTCCATTGCTCCCCTACCCAATTTGTTTTTGTTAGGTGTACATATCTGCAATCTCCCATCTTTTAGCAGGACATCTCTTTCTGCAATTTTAACAGGGGTCTCTTTTTCCTCCTTACTTCTTTTTTCTTTGTTTTCTGTGTATCTTTGGTTTTTAAGATCTTCACTCTCGTGCCGTCTTCTGGGTCTAAGAATGCATGAATCACAGTAAAATTTATCTTAAGGCAGCCTGAATATGAAAAAATGTACTAAAATTCCCTTAAGGCTTGCTAAATGTCACACTAAAGCATTTATATGTGCTACGAATTACTACACCAAGGGGTGTCACACCCAACGTTCCCCAGTGCACTCATAATATTTCCAATCCACTAACAATGGTTAGGAAATGGGGAGCGTTGTGTCTGCACTACTGTCAGTAAAAAAAATCTGCACAATTAGAGGCATATTATCCTTCAGCGAGGCAAAGCGTACTTACTTTCTCCGCATGGGACAGTCTTTCATGAAATGCCCAATTTTACCACAAATCCTGCAACATCTATCATTTGGGGCCAGTTCACCTTCTGTCAGCACCTCTGGGTCAAAAAAATATTCCTAACAAAAATACAAAATGTTAGCATTGAACTGAAATGGGCAATTCTTTCTGACTAGTGCAAAACAAGCAAACACTACTGGTTGCATATTCCTGTGTTTGAAAATTTCAGCAAGGACTAGTGAAACATCTAGGACAGGGTTCCTAAAGTGTGGCTCACAAACTGAATTCAGGTAGTTTTCAGGGTGTCCATATTAAATATTTATAATGATTTTAAACTTTATTTTTGTAGGTACTTTTATTTCTTATCTATATAATTCAAATTGTAATGCAGTACAATACAGCATAGAACATCTTAATAAAATGTTGTTAGAAATCTAACACACTCACCATCTTTGAAGAGTATTCTTTAGGAAATCCTCTTACCGGGGTGCCAAACACCCTCCTACCATTTATAAAAGCCTTCATTATAAAGTTTGTCACTAGAGTAATCAAAACAAAAACAATGATCAATTAAATGGAAACAGAGTCATATAAAAGTATATCTCTGTACAACATAATTTATGGCAATCACTTACTTTTTCTTGACAAACCGGCTCCAAGATTGTGATTCAGGTCGAAAGGATCTGCAAGAGGGGTGTTGCAGGTTTTAACAAAACCCATATTAAAATAGCTCGTGAACAAACAGAATCCAAAGAACAAAAAAACCAATGGGAATGCTGGTTACATTTTTAATGCTGAGCCACATTTATAAAACAGATTTCTTCCCCTTCCTCATGTACAAAGAAAGGGAAAACACTGAAGAGTGATCTAAGATTTTGACGACAAGAAGATGAAAAACCTTCAACAAGATAAAGCAATAGTTGTTCAAACTGAAAAACTAAGCCAATCATTTTATTGCAAAAAAATGTATATAGAGAAAAAACTGTAGTACAGGGGACCCCTACTCACTCGGGGGTTCTGTTTGCGGCCACCAAGCAGAGCGAGTGGAGATTCCCCCATTCCGCCCCCACCATACCACCTTGCGGCGCCGAAAACAGCGCATGTGTCAGTGGGAGCGTGCATGCTGATCGCACGCAAGTGGGGAGACACCTGTATAGTAATTCACAGTCAGAGGGAGCAGGCAGAAAAAGAACCACCAGTAAAGCGTGCCCGATCCTTGTATTTACTAGTTTATTAAGAATAGAGAGGCAGGGATTATATAGATAACGCTGCACGGCCAAACAGAACTAGTTACTTGGGGATTACCAGCATGAGCTCCCCGACAGCTAGCCAATAATATTCTATGTCTATTCAAGGGAAAGCTAGAGCAAATGCAAATCAAGGCAACAAGCTATGCAAGAAAGCTGGAGTGATAAAAGGCTACCCTTTGATGGCCAATATCATGTGCCTAGCATGGCCCATGACACTTCATAAGACACAGAAAGGAGGATCAAAGGAAGCAAGTTCAGAGTCCAATGATGGCATACTACAAAACACCTCCATCAGTCCATTTTATATACCAATCTAACTTGGGGTCTAGGGATGCAGGTGGCGCTGTGGTCTAAACCACTGAGACTCTTCGGCTTGCCCATCGGAAGGTCGGCGGTTTGAATCCCCATGTCGGGGTGAGCTCCCATTCTCAGTCCTGCCAACCTAGCACTTCAAAAGCACGTCAAAGTGCAAGTAGATAAATAGGTACCACTCCGATGGGAAAGTAAATGGTGTTTCCGTGTGCTGCTCTGGCTTTGCCAGAAGTGGGTTAGTCATGTTGGCCACATGACCCGGAAGCTGTCTGCGGACAAACATCGGCTCCCTCAGCCAGTAAAGCGAGATGAGTGCGCAACCCCAAAGTCGTTCGCAACTGGACTTAACTGTCAGGGGTCCTTTACCTTTACCTAATTTGGCCTCTATTGGTGTTTCCTTCCCCCTATATCTCACATCCCATTGTTTAACACAATGCCTAAAGGTAAAGGTAAAGGACCCCTTGATGGTTAAGTTCACTCAAAGGCGACTATGGGAATGCAGCACTCATCTTGCTTTCAGGCCGAGGGAGCCGGCATTTGTCCACAGACAGCTTTCTGGGTCATGTGGCCAGCAGGACTAAACCGCTTCTGGTGCAACGGAACACCGTGAACACCAGAGCGCACGCAAACACCATTTACTGTCCCGCCACTGGTATCCATTTATCTACTTGTACAGGTGTGCTTTCGAACTGCTAGGTAGGCAGGAGCTGGGACAGAGCAACAGGAGCTCACCCCGTTGTGCGGATTCAAACCACCAACCTTCTCAGCAGTTTAGACCACAGCCCCACCTGCATCCCTATAATGCCTAGCCTCCTTAATCTCAATGTATGGGGCAGCTTTTTCATGGACTAGACGCTTCCACAGATGAGTGTCAAAGAAGAAAAGGGAACGTGGTACCCTTCTCAGAAGGCATCAGGAAGCATACTGTGCAGGTGCATTACTGTCAAGTGGACAGCAACGTTCTGGGCGAGTCAGTGATCTCATCTGTGCTCATGCCAGGTGGGGCTCAGTGCTGAAGCAACAGACCTGTGGTGTCTGCTGTCTCTTCCCACCCCTGCTGGTAAGGGTCCTAGGTCCCCCCCTCCCATATTCAGTTGAGCAAAGTGGCAGTTGTGCCAAGGCATTGCTAGTCTACAGTCAGCATCCAATAACTGTGGCATCACAGCTCATGATGCCGTGTTCATACAACAGCTCGCGGTGTATTTTTAAAACTAATTTGCCAGTACAATGCTTTTCCAATCAGGTTGCTAAAATGCAAATTCCTTTGAGCAGTTTGCTGCCTATACTGTCACAGACCTTTAACTGTATTACTCCCCCAACAGAAATTAAGCATTTCACCAAACTTGGCCCTGTTGTTCAAATATATTTGTTAAATGATGAATAAAGGTCTCATAATTTAGAGGAATACCTTCAATAACTATGTATTTTGAAGTCCACTGCTTCTTGAATGTTGTAAGCAAACTTTTTCTTCGGATGCAGATAACGTGCTCTTTAAAATCAAATTCTTCAGTATAGAAACGGAGAAGTCCTAGCCATAATTCACCAATGGATTCTTTGTTTTTACCAAAGTCTGGCCAAACTGCAGGCTGGAAGTGAAATATATATCTTTTTCAGGTGTAGACAATAGCATGCAATTTACTGATCTCTTGTCACTCTTTGCCTAGATGTGTGAATTGTTCCAACCTTGTAGAAAGGGTCAATTGCCAGTTACCCTGGGGCTGCCAGGCTAAAGAGAAGCATACTCTAGCTCTATCCAGGGGGCTACTGGGCTGTCAAGGTATTGGATTTGTGTTTATGTAAATTATTACAATATATTGTAAGCCGCATTGAGAATCATTGGATTGAAAGGATGGATACAAGTCTTCTACTAATTTAAGTAAATTGGAGGGTGTGGTGTTTGCCCTCCTAGGTTTGTGACATCATACTAGGTTCATAAGGAAAGGGTTAACTAAGTGTAAAATGACTGACCAATAGGAACCCAGGGGTAGGAGTTAGAGTTAGAGTTGTTAAGAAGTCAGTCTGGAGTTAGAGAAGAGAGAGAGAGAGAGAGAGGGGATAAGTCTGTGGGTTGGGCTGGTCTGATGTGAGAGAGTGAGAGAAACTGTTAAGTTGAGATAATCAGTCGGAAGGTATTAGGAAGGTATAGGCCGGTAAAGAAACTAAGGTTAAGAAACTGATAAGAAAATTAACTGAGAAACCATACTTGTTAATGCTTACAAAATAAACTTGTTTATTTGATTTAATTTTAACAACTGTCTGGACTCAGTGTGTACCCGAGAGTAACGGGTTGGTGGCAGCGGGGAAGCGAGCACAGTGGTGGCACAGGGATCAATAGACTGTCAAACGTCCGGGGACCCTGTGTGATCGCCACAATGGAGGGTTCCTAACTGAGAACTGCTAGTAAATCTTACATCTGCTGAGATCCTCGGATCTGGCTGCAAATATTTTGCCAATCATGAGCTACCAAATACAGTGGTGCCTCGCAAGACGAAAAGAATCCGTTCTGGGAGTCTCTTCGTCTAGCGGTTTTTTCGTCTTGCGAAGCAAGCCCATTGACGGATTAGCGGATTAGCGCTATTAGCGGCTTTTAGCGGCTTTTAGCAGCTTATCAGCTTATCGGATAAGCAGATAAGCGGCTTAGCGACTTAGAAAAAGAGGGGGAAAAGGAAATAATTTACCCAGGAACTCGCAAGACATTTTCGTCTTGCGAAGCAAGCCCATAGCAGATTCGTTTTGCGAGGCACCTCCAAAACGGAAAACTCTTTCGTCTAGCGAGTTTTCCGTCTTGCGAGGCATTCGTCTTGCGGGGCACCACTGTAAATGATGGGTTAAAGTGACCCCATCTACCTGATTGGCAAGCATTTTCAACATGAATTCTGCAAATAGGTGTGATAAGAATGAAACAGTTTTGATGGTTCATGTAAGGAAGCTTCCAACTGCTAAATATATACACCACAATTCAGGTTTGTAAGGGGTTTTTTAGGGTCTTACTTTTATTAACTCCCCAAAAGCCTTTGCAGTGATATTTTTGCACAAACATAAATTAATACTTAAGTAAATCAACAAAGTTCTGTGGGATAATCTGCCTCATATAATCAACACGTTTAAGTCTAATTAATGAAGGGGTTAAGACCATAGAGTAAGCTGTCCTGGCAGGCTTAGCTTACCTCGGGAATTACTAATAATCAAGCCTTTGTTTCCCTCTAGCCTACATGTGAACTCCAGTGTGCAAAGAGTTCTGAGCTGCTGCCTCCAGCCACATGGCTCTAACAAGCCTCTTTTAAGTTCCTGTACCAATAATTTAGAAACTTTCACCAGTTAAGTTTTACTGCCTATGCAACATGAATCTGACCTCTGGACAGTTTATAAGTGAACCATTTTTATCTTACCAAACATGTGGTCTTTTTCTATGCGAGGGAAAGAGGGAATCTTTGGAAGGAACTTAGAAGGGCATATTTCAAAGGTCTAACAGACTATATTTCCACACTTTGTTGAACATTTTTGATTTAAACTCTCTGCTGGAGTTCTCTCACCAAATAAGACTTGTCCCAAACTCCTTTTATATCTATATTTTTTTCCTTGTCACCAACACATTCTACATTTCACTGTGTATGCTCTCATAATGTTTTCTTTCTATCTTGGCAAAAAGGAAGTAGATAAATGCAAAGAATGAAGAAAATGAACAGAACTGGTTCTGATCTAAGTATCTGCTGACATAAATATTAGTGAATAACTTAAACATCATTTTAAGAGGCCACTAGATCATTAGGATCTTATGAGCACAGTACAGTGGTACCTTGGGTTAAGTACTTAATTCGTTCTGGAGGTCCGTTCTTAACCTGAAACTGTTTTTAACCTGAAGCACCACGTTAGCTAATGGGGCCTCCTGCTGCTGCCGTGCCGCTGGAGCACGATTTCTGTTCTCATCCTGAAGCAAAGTTCTTAACCTGAAGCACTATTTCTGGGTTAGCAGAACCTGAAGCATATGTAACCCGAGGTACCACTGTACTGCCCTTTTCTCATGCCATACAATTGAGGTAAAAATGACCAACAGTGTCACAATGTCCTCTGCAGTTTATAAAAAGTTACAACTGGGATCACGAAGCACAAGGTAACATACTTCGTTAAGTGTGAGCAAACTTACTTATTTCCCCCCCAATTTCCCATGGTCAGTTTGACCTCATTAAAAAGGTTAGGAGTGTAACTTTACTTAAGATTACATAGCAGAGTTGTTTTCGTATTAGCCAGACTCACCAGTTCATCTGTTTTGTCAAAGAAATAGACATTCCAGCCATCAACTAGAATTTCGGGTTTCTTTGGCTCTTGGTATATCTAAGAAAATAAATATTAAGACTATCAGGGCAGGAGATTAGTGCTTTTGAGATGTTTTCAAGTGAGTGTGCAAGCATAACAGGGTAGGATCCAATGTTGTGCGAGCAAAATTCCAGTCCTGCAACAGGACTTTGCTTTCCTCTCTTCCCCAGTCCCCACCGCATTCCCAAAATCTGTTCCAGAGGGTCTCCCGGCAGTGCAGAGCAGTTTTTGAGTGTTTGTAGGGGCTACAAGAAGGAGAGAAAGGCGAAGTCCCTATGCACAATGTTGTGCACACACACACACAGGCTTAAAGTGTGTACCTCTTGAAGAACAGGAATGACAGGAGGGTTTCTCTGCTGAAGGAAGTAGAGCACCATTAGAGTATAGGCATAGGAAGATAGGCTGCCTCTAGATGCATCACCAATATCACACATCTGAAAAGAGGGGGGGAGAAGAAATTAGTGGAAAAACTTAACGGGTATCACTTTTTCTCCCCCAGTTAACTAGAACATTGATGTACCTTTGTGAAGACTTTCATTGTATAGCAGAGATATTTTACTCTTGGATCAATAGCTGCATAAGAGGACAAGAGTCTTGTGTTATGTAGAGCCTAGAAAGAAATGAGATTAGAATTTTGAGATGGATTGGTGAAGGAGGACAGCAACTGTATGACTTGGAAAGCTCTCTGAAATACCTCAGTCAACAGAAACAGCATTATTTCAGAAGCATGCGATTGGAATGTGGAATGAGCATGTACACCACAACCACAATTTTTTTTTACTTGCTATCTAAAAATTAAACAACCTTGTTTTAAAAAATACCAAGTGAATAAAACACATAATTTCAACAAAAATATGCTGAAAATCACAGTGCATGTTTGGACAGATTTTAATACCAACCATTTCTACAAGACACTGAAGTAACTACCTTGACATATTTATTTTTTTTATTTCCCAAACTCTGTTGATCAGTTGTCCACATGAACCCCATTTCTGTTCATCATAAATACGGAAGAACTCATCCATGTAATTTGGATGAGTTTTCCTCCATAACAGTAGCCCCATATCCCATTTGCTATATCTCCAGTGGCTATTTGAAGAAGTGCTTGAATTTCAACTAGGAGATGTTCTTACCAATGTATTATACAAGCTGATGTCTACTTCAAGACCACTTCGCACATGAAAGAACTTGACAATTGGCACTTTAGCAGTTGTTATTGGTAATATATTTCTTAGACCTATGGAAGTACAAAAATGAAGATTTATACCAGTTGAACTCCATAGGAATGACATTGGCTGAAATTCAGCATTGTTAAGTACACAATGATACTTAGGCCACAACCCTATACAGAGTTATTCAGGAATACATCTCACTGAACTGAACACATCTCATTTTTGGCAGTGGTTTTCAACCATGTTCCAAGACATACTTAGGAAGCCTAGGGTTCCATGGAAGCTTATCAGGGATTCCTCAATGTGAAGAACAGTAACAGAAGACAGACAACTTGCACACTACTATTGATCTTTTCCTGCAATTTACACCCACAGGGGAGTGCTGAGTGAATACGAAGAACAGTCATTTCAGGAAAAGTGATGGCAAGGCCTCAAAGCCCTGGCTAGCACACTCTACGGATGCCTTATAACGTGCCCCAAAAGTTTTAAAGCTATGGGCTACAACATGCCTGGGTTTTCCTATACACTTTGTCCAGTTTTGACAATTCCACCCAGAGGCCATTTTCGGCGGATAAATCTCGCCTATGTCTGGTGGATTCCGGACGTATGGCAGCCCTAATTAACTATGACCAAGCTGACAATGACAATGTTCTTCCAAAAGAGAACAACATGAATCCACACAGATCTGTCTAGTGTATTTGTTTTTAGCTTTAGAAATATCTATGAAGTGCTAGCAGCCTGGCTACAAGAAGACCCGGCTTCATTATTATTATTCCTCCTAAATTTAATATCTTCATCATTTTATGCAGACAAAGGCTATGCTAATTGTGCTATTTTTTTTTGTTAGGTTTATTCCATCACCACCATTTTAGGTCATTGCAAGAACAGATTTTCACACTTTATGGCAACCAACTTGCATGTTTTTGTTTTGACTGTGGGCCAATGGCTAAGGGCAGACAGAGTTGCAGATATGTGGGCTAACAGACTTTAAGAATGTATCGCTATTATTGCAGACAGACCAATACTATCAAGTATTGTGCATCCAGGAGGGTTGGGGGGGGGGAATTAAAATTTGATTGTTAGGATTCTGTACCAAAAATCAAATGAATGCATGCTAAATCAGGGAAGATGGCCAGCCCACCAATAACTAAGCTAAATTTCTCCATTCATTTATCACATAAATGATATGCAAAGAGAAGTCAATGCTTTATGGTTTTCAGACATACTAGAAAGCTCTTGTGGCTAAAGTGCATCAAAGGCCTGATCCTAAATTTAAACTCCTTTCGTGAGTGTTTTGCATCGGCAGAATCTGAAATTCACAAACACCCTCACACAATTCATGTTCCTGTGTGCATGGTTTAAAAAACAACAACATACAAACCAACCACATTTTCAGCAACAGTTACCTGAATGTTTCTTGAGCACTCTTGCAAGTTCTTCAATAATTCTTATACAGTCAAGTCCCTGTGATAAAAAAGAATACATCATAATCCTTTTTTAAAGCTTTAAAAACACAGCAATACGACAAAGCTTAAGGAAAAGAATTACTCCCCAATATTACAATTGCCAGCATTACAATAGGCAGATCAATGGCTACAACAGGCAGACCTAGTGAAGTTGCCCCACTGGGACAGGAAGTTACATCTGCAAAATGTTTTTGTTCTGTTTGTTGGAATGTTTTTTCTTTTAGATTTTTGTAAGAGGCAAAACCTAATTAAAATTAATTGTAAAAAACAAAAAGAAAATTTACACCTGCAAAATGGGACTTCCTCACCATATATGCTCCCCCATCCCTTCAGAGGCCTGGTAGAACCCATATAATGGATTTGGGAGCGATGCACAGGGAGAGGAGAGCAAGAGGAAGATCACTCCCAATGTGGTGAGTAGAACTCCTTTGCTTACAGGACAACTTCACTGGATGTAACCCAGTGGGTGGGGTTTTTTTTAAGAGGTCCTCTCATTCATACTGCACTTTTCTTCTATCATGAACCTGACTGTGTAACAGATCAATCCATACGGCTTTTAGCACCTCCAATTTAGAAAACGGCAAACATAAACTTGCTGTTGCACTCAACATCTCACAGCCCTGGTCAGATTTCATCTGGCTATCCAGGTAAAATTTCACAAGGGGCTTCCCAATGAAACCTTTCATAATTCCAGTTTCTTGTTAAAGGCTAGGAGGGAGGGGGAGAAAAGTAAAGACACTTTTTTCTGTTTCCTGCAAGAGACAAACCAAGGCCAATCTACTATTGGGAAAAGACTGGCCATCGTGAACAAGCAACAGCACTAACGTGTACAGGTTGCCCGCAAGACACAGGCGTCTCCTTTTTGCCTTCCATGCAATAGGTTGCTGTACCCAACTACACCAGATTTACATAACGAATAGACTGTTTTCAAGTGCAAATTGTTGTGACTTTGTTTATTCTCCTTTCCACTTCACACATCTGAAGTAGTTGCCGCCGAAAGTTGTGCAATTTTTTTAAACCCCAGAAATAAACAGTCACCATGATCAAGGTGTCACTACTATTTTAGGAGCGATGTCGGTGGTTTTACAGTGGTGCCTCGCAAGACGAAAAGAATCCGTTCCGCGAGTCTCTTCGTCTTGCGGTTTTTTCGTCTTGCGAAGCAAGCCCATTAGCGGGCTTAGCGGATCAGCTGATAAGCGGCTTAGCAGATCAGCTGATAAGCGGCTTAGTGGCTTAACGGATCAGCTGTTAAGCGGCTTAGCGGATCAGCTGATAAGCGGCTTAGCGATCAGCTGTTTAGCGGCTTAGCGGCTTAGCTGATAAGCGGCTTAGCGGATCAGCTGATAAGCGGCTTAGCGGCTTGGGGAAAAGGGGGGGAAAAGGAAAAAAAACCCGCAGGAACTCGCAAGACATTTTCGTCTTGCAAAGCAAGCCCATAGGAAATTTGTTTTGCGAAGCACCTCCAAAACGGAAAACCCTTTCGTCTAGCGGGTTTTCCGTCTTGCGAGGCATTTGTCTTGCGGGGCACCACTGTATGCTGGTATTAATGCGACAACAGCATTGTAAGTGGTAGATTCAGGTAGGTAGCCGTGTTGGTCTGACGCAGTCAAAATATATCAATATATAATATATAAAAAATTGTCCAGTAACACCTTAGAGACCAACTAAGTTTGTTCTTGGTATAAGCTTTCGTGTGCATGAAGAAGTCTCTAAGGTGCTCCTGTACAAATTTTTTTTGTTTGAGCATTGTAGGTGATTACTGAATATCCACTTTGATGTAAAAAAAAAAGAAAGTGGCTTTATCTGGAATCTATCTGGAATCTAAAAGAGTGAACCTGCTCATTTATCAACCTCTCTTGTTTTCTTGCACTGAATAGATTATGATTAACTAGACATGTCTGTGTGTGCACATGGAACACTATCAGCTTAGGGGGGAAAACCTGAGAAAGATCCTTAGTAGATCAGCCTATGTCTTCCAGAGGAATGAACTTTTGCTGGCACAATGTAATCTCCCCTTCTTCTGCCCCCTGCACTGCAAACTGGAAACTGGAGGTTTGGAGAACCCTCAGGAGGAGGGGAAGGGGAACAAGAGGAACGGGAAACAGCCCACTGTGCAACTGAGTATCACCCATAAACACACTTATTTGTACTTGTCGTGTTGCTCATGTTAAAAAGGCTACCTCAGCTGTTTCCAGACCATCAACTGTCATACAAATATCGAGATCACTTTGCTTGAAGCCAAATCCATTCTTTGAAGAGCCAAATAAGTTTAACTTAGTGCCTGTAAAGGAGGATGTATTTCAGAGAATTATTTGAGCACATTAGCATTCGTTAGTAATAAATATTGGACAATTAGGCCAAGAATAAAGAAAACAAGCTGTAATAAATATAAAGCATATCCTTAAATTTTCTGCTAGGCAACACATTCTGTAGTAACTGGTTTGAGATTAGTGACCTAAGGACATCATAAAAATTACTTTAGTACTTTGAAAATAAATATAATCACAAAGAACACCTGGAAACTCTTGTCTGATGAAATTTTCAAGATTTTGCCGTATATATTCACGAGCCTGGTCTTCTATAATGTTTGGAGCAAAGTCCTCTGTTGAAGAGACAGCATATATTCATTTAGAATTAGAATTATGATAACAAGTAGATGCACTAGAAAGACAATTTCTTTTATAATAATAATATTATGCTACACGTTAATTGACTGACGGTATATCTAGTTAACTTGAGGCATTAATATGAAATCTATAATGCAATACCCAATGCTGTTAGCCTAAAGTAACAGAACCAATTACAACATATAAAGCTACATTTTTGGACAAAAACTTTGCGATTAGACTGTATCTTATATTGTGGTAAGCAGTAATGTAAGAACAAAGACATATACTTTGCATTTTATATTAAATGCTAGTTAATATACAACTTCCCAATGAATGTATATTTTAAAAGTGTTTTGTGGGTTTTAAGCAGTACGCATTAGTGTACAGCCTCAGCAGTGGACCTGGTTTGGAAATTGCCAAATAGCGGCAAAACAGTGAGGAATGACATGATTGGCAGCAGAGAAAATTGCAGGTAGGCAGAGGCACTTAATTCTTCCAACTACTTTCAACTTTCTTCTGCTCTCATCTTACAACCCTACCTCCAGAAATCATTTTCTCCAGCGATCTGCAAACACACTCCCCAACTCTAACATGGCAGAAGATTGTTGAGTGGAAAATAGCCCAAACTAAGAAAAATTACTTGACCCTGTTTATTTTGTACAAGTATTAATTTCCAAAAAAATTCCAACCAAAATGAAGTTCAGTCAACTTACTATAACACTGGATGCACACTTGATCCAAAGTATTTAAGAACTTGGGTGTTAATGGTGGCAAAGGGTCCAGCTCAATTTTTTTGAAGTCTTCTGGGCAGTCCCTCTTTAGATGACCTTCTCGCTTACATAGGCTACACACAACTGTAGGTGACTGTATCAAAGAGAAAGGAAGACATCCTTAAAACTTTTTTCTTCTCTGAGCTAAACTACACTCTCAAGCTTGCTAAATGATAAGTGGGAACAAGGCCTGGTAGGAGACAGCAAACATCACCTAGCTTAAAGTATAAATGGGGAGATAATGAATATATCTGTTATCAGGAATGGCCAGACTATGGTCAATGACACTCTCTGTACATCAGTAACAGCTTATCATATTATACATGTCTGACTGCAACTTCCAACTGTCATGTCATACTGACCGTGTTGAAAGCCTGCCATGCTATTTGCTCAAACCTGTGAATATTTTGACATGTGGAAGAAACTCAAAATAACAGTCAGCTTGATTATGGATTGTAGAAATTATAATGCACCAATGGAATTTTTTTATTTAAAAAAGAAAAAACTTGTTCCTCTAGTCCCGATTTATGACTCTGGAATTAAATGACATTTGTGGGACCAAACACACAGCCTCTAATGTAGATTAGTCCTACCTCTACAGATTAACATGCAATGGAATGAAGGAACTGCAGCATAAATAGTATTTTACAATTTAGATGTTATTACCTTGCCTTTTGTGAAAGAGTATTTATTAAACTCATAGAAGAAGTCAGATTTGCCACATTGATCTATGAGCATGTTGCTTTCCAAAGACGCTTCTTTTTCAACATTATCTTCTTTATCCAAATCTGCCCTTGGAGGTTCATCTGCATTCTTCCTGAACTCACTGTCTTCATATTTGACAGAAATAAACAATTCTTCCTCTTCCGATAGAGGCTCTTCAATGCCAGATCCAGTGTACGTGTTATCCAGCTCATCTTCAGTATTGATAACATTCCCAAGTTGTCTCTGGTTTATAATACTGTGAACTTCCTCCTCCTCTTCCTCTTCTTCTTCCTCCTCTTCTTCCACTTCCTCCTCCTCCGAATTATCCATTTCAAATACTTGCTCCTGAGTTGCTGGTTCCAGTTTGATCAGGGAATCATCCAGTTCATCAGTTCCTTCTGTGCTCTCTGCATCCATGTCAACCTTATCGTCTAGTCCACCGCCGCATTCTGAACCAAACCCGTCAAGAGCAGCTACTGTATTTTGAAAATTCTCCATATCAGAAATGCTGTCAGTTTCAACATCATGCTCACCAGCTGGAACAGCAAGATCTCCACTTTCACTGTCTTCATCCAAACCTTGATTGATACCCAAACGTCCCTGCCATTTTCTATCACGTTCGTGCCCATCTTCTTCTTCCTCTTCATTTCCACTCTCTGTCTCCTCACAGCTCGGTTTATATTCCTCATTGTCGCCCGAAATAAATTCCTCAATTATGCAGTCTGAGTCCTCATGGGAAACACCTAAATGCTCTATATCGTCTGCCAACTGCTCTTCCACAAAGCTTTCAGCACCAAACACCTGAGAAGGATCCAACGCAGGTTCCTGAGGAAAATAAGAACTTTTCATGCTAGCAGTTACACAGCTGTCCACTGGCGATTTCTCTGCCTCGTCATGTGCATTTTGTATGTCAGGGATGCCAGGTTTAAGAGCGCTCTTCTCCGGCTCTGAGAGTGCCAAGGATTCAGCAGGTCTCTTTTGGTTGTTTTTTGTACTTTGTTTATGGGGCAAGGCAAAATACTTGTAAGTTGCCCGTAAGCAGTGAAGAATATATTCATAAACTAATTGACTATTAAGGGTTCTTGCCACATTCCTCTTCACAGAGTAAGGATCTGGGGGAAACAAGAGTCGAAGTCAACTATATCTTACTGAGGGTGTTAAAGTAGGTCTTAATATTATCATCCCCCCCCCCCCAAGTCTAGGTGGATAATAAGATTTCCTCTTGGCACTCAAAAGATCATAAAGGAGGCATCAAGTGAGCATCTCTGGGAAGCCTCTCTCCATAGCAGACACCCACTTCACAGATTTATCTATCACATCGGAGGCATGAATAAAACACACTTAAAGCCACATAAGCAGATGGCTATTAAAAACCCGCAGGATTTACTTCAATCACTGAACTTAAGAGAAAGCAATGAAGCTTTTTAGCCAACAGCAAGCTACAGAAAGCAGGAGTGGCTAACCTTTAGCCCTCCAAGATCCCATTGAGAATACAGCTGCCACCAGTCCTGACCACTGGCTACTCTGACTGGGGCTGATAGGAGTTGAGAGTCTCAATATAATAAAACCTGCCCACCAGGTGATATGGGTCATTATGCCCGGACTGTGAAATTCCGCTCAATGCCTCATTGACAATAGGTCTAAACATTTTCATTTAGGTGAGCATGCTTGTTGAGTCCAACTGCCCTGGTTTTGTGGGGTGCTACTGTTACTGTTCAAAGGGACACGGGTGGCGCTGTGGGTTAAACCACAGAGCCTAGAGCTTGCCGATCAGAAGGTTGGCAGTTCGAATCCCCGCGACGGGGTGAGCTCCCGTTGCTCGGTCCCTGCTCCTGCCAACCTAGCAGTTAGAAAGCACGTCAAAGTGCAAGTAGATAAAAAGGTACTGCTCCGGTGGGAAGGTAAACGGAGTTTCCGTGCGCTGCTCTGATTCGCCAGAAGCGGCTTAGTCATGCTGGCCACATGACAGTGAGCTGTATGCTGGCTCCCTCAGCCAGTAAAGCGAGATGAGCGCCACAACCCCAGAGTCGGCCACGACTGGACCTAATGGTCAGCGGTCCCTTTACCCTTTACCTTACTGTTACGGTTCATGGAATGTGGTTATTACTTGAGTTTATTCTGCTTTTGATGGTTTTATTGTTTTATACTTGAAACTGTAAGCCACCCTGAGGGTCTCCATAGGGATGGAAAATAAGAAAACTATTTTTATGAAATAGATGTTTATCAGAAATATTTTGCAGCAAATGATTCTCTCTAGGAGCTACTTTACACAGCTGCTTGAGGTGAGGTGAGGTGGGGTGGGGTGTGTGCATAAACCACCTAATCTTTACCTCCAAGTGATGCAGTGATAAAACCCGAATATTCGGGCCATGAAAAGTTAAAGTGTGGCTTATATTCACAGCCTTATCACATGCCCCCCCCCAAGCAGCCCGGGAGCGTGGAACAAAGGCGTGTGTTGAGATTCTTGCATTGTATGCCCCACGGAGAGCCTCAAGGTCCATAAATAGCAACACCCTAGTGGTCCCGGGCCCTAAGGAAGTTAGATTAGCCTCAACCAGAGCCAGGGCCTTTTCAACACTGGCTCTGGCCTGGTGGAACACTCTGTCTCATGAGACCAGGGCCCTGCAGGATCTGATTTTTTTCTGCAGGGCCTGTAAGACAGAGTTGTTCCGCCTGGCCTTTGGCTTGGAGCCAATTTGTTTCCCTCCCCCCCTTTCTTTTTCCTTTCTCCTCCTGTGATGAGGCTGCATTTTAATATTTTAATGTTTCACTATTTTAATGTTGTATTTTAATCTTGTTTTTAAGTTGTATTCATTCAACTTGTTTTTATTATTGCTTGTTAGCCGCCTTGAGCCCGGCCTTGGCTGGGGAGGGCGGGGTATAAATAAAATTTATTATTATTATTATTATTATTAAGTAGTAATGGAGACCAATGTAAAGGCATGCTCAGCTGAACTGTTGTTCCATGCGCCACGGCCAAAACCAAGAGTCCTTAGACAGTCGTAATGAACACAAATAGAGAAAACAACAAAACAAAACTTAGTCAGAGTTTTCTCAGCTGTAGCTAATACTGACAGTAAGACCTGTCTGGAGGTTTTTAAGCAGAGGTTGGATGGCCACCTATCATATATGATTTAGTTGAGATTCCTGCATTGCAGGGGGTTGGACTAGATGACCCCAGGGTCCCTTCACACTCTACAGTTCTAAGATTGAATGATTTGAGTGGTACCTGCTTAAGAAGAATGTCAAAAGGGGGGGGGGAAGGATAGTCTGCTTTAAATGCCAAACAATGCACATTTCTTCAACAGGTAATACAAATTGGACCTTCCTGCAAACAAACTACTTTCAAATACCTTCCACAGCAATCCGCTTTTTAGGCCAGTCCTTCGATTCACGAGACACTTTTTCTTTGAGGCGTATGCTAATGACTAAGTCAGCCAAATTAAACTCCAGGGCGTAGAAACGAAGCAGTTCAACCCAGAGCTGTCCAACTGGGACTAAACATTGATGATCCGAATCAAACACTAAAGGAACCTGCCAATTAAAACAAAGGCTGGATTATCTGATTTGCCTGGCATCTGCGCTCCAAAGCTAAAAAAAAGGCAGTATCACACTTTGGCCTAGATTTGAAGATTTAAGTTCAAGTGCAGTGGACCCTCCCTCGGGTTACGTACCTCTCTGGATACGTAATCTTCGGGTTGCGAAAGCGGCAAACCTGGAAGTATTTTTCCAGGTTTCGCCACTTGCGCATGTGAGCACTCTGCACGCCACACACATGCACAGAAGCGCTCTATCGTGTTGCGCACTTGCGCAAAAGCGGTGCCTTTGGTTATGGATTTTCGGGGGTGTGCACGGACCCCTGGAATGAATTAAATTTGTATCCAGAGGGTCCACTGTAGGAGAAAAAGAGCTGTAATCCGGAATTTACCATATATTCCCCTGTACTGTATTTGCATTCATCCACTGTCATGCTGGGACCAAGTAAGCCTGCACCCCAAATGAGCCCACCAGGGGAGCGAGCAGGTGGCCTAGGAAGGCCTTCCCACACTGGGGAATGAAGGGAAAGAAAGCCTTTCTCCTCTTCGTCTCTCCCTCCCCGCCACTGTCACCAAGGAAAGGAAGTTTGCATTTAAAAACAGCAGACTTCCTTCTCTGGGAGGCAGCAGAACAGCACGGGGAGATGAGGGGGAGACTTGCTCCCCTTCACCCACCACCAGTGGTAGCAGGAGAGCACAGGGATAGGCAAGCTGTGAGGTGGTGCTTCTTTTGCCTGAGCTGTAAAGCAAAATGGGCGGAGGCAGCAGCCCCTAGACAAGGGCTAATAAATCTGCAGCTGTATAGTGCAACCCCGTACTCAGATCAGCAAGATGTGCAAAAAAATCATGGGATTAGATAATACCTAAGTATTTTAGGGACCCAAAGACAGACAACAGAATTTCTATCTGACATTATTACAGCTGGAAGTACAGTCATACCTCTTGTTATGTTTGCTTCAGGTTGCGGGTTTTCAGGTTGTGTCCCGCGGCAACCCAGAAGTACCGGAAAGGGTTACTTCCGGGTTTTGCTGCTCGCGCATGCGCAGACGTGCAAAATGATGTCACGCGCATGTGCAGAAGCGGCAAATCGCGACCCGCGCATGTTGTGTTCTGCTCATGTTGCGAACGGGGCTCCGGAACGGATCCCATTCGCAACCAGAGGTACCGCTGTACTTGACTTCAAACATCCGATTATCAGAGCACAAGCTTCATTAGACAGGATCTACCAAATATTTTGACATAATTCTTCAAAATCATCAGACAGTACCCTCAACAGACATATGTATAAAAAAAGTGTTTGAGGCAATATAAAAAACAGCCGAATAGTTTCTTGTTTAATTCTAGATTGCTGCTACTTTTTAAAAATAAAAGTGTGTGAAGGGTTTAAAACTTAAATTCCAGTCTTAAAATTGATACCTTTCCCCGCTTAGGAGAAGTTTCCTTTGAAGAGCCAGGATCCTCGACAGCAGGATTGTGCTCCCAGACCACAATGTCATCTTCAACTTCTTTTAGATTGAAGTTCACTAGTTTGTTCAATGAAAACCCTCCAATCTAGCAACAGGGGAAGAGAAAATGAATAGAAGTCAAATTCCTCTCAGCAAGCTTCCCGTGAGTCTAGGATTATCCCCCCCTGAACAGTCACTGTCCACTAAGACCCCACCAAGCTTCAAAAAAGACTATAAATTTTTCTTCCAGTTCCTCATCGCTTTGCACATACAATGTTATCTCCTCTGACATTACTTTTGCTAGTCACATGGCTTATAGATGACTTGGATTTTTTGTTATGAGCCAATACTGCTACCTTAATTTTTTGCTTTATGTCTGCCTTTCTTGTTGTTTTTTTTTAAAAAAAAACCCACACACACCCCCTCACCTTCCTAAAATTGCACTCGAGGTAGCTTGTCAAGATCATCGATATAAATACAATAAATAATCTAAACATATAAAAACAGGAGCCAAACCAAAACTATTGTTATAGCAGGAGAAGAAGAAGAAGAGTTTGGATTTGATATCCCGCTTTATCACTACCCAAAGGAGTCTCAAAGCGGCCTACATTCTCCTTTCCCTTCCTCCCCCACAACAAACACTCTGTGAGGTGAGACTTCAGAGAAGCGTGACTAGCCCAAGGTCAGCCAGCAGCTGAAGATGGAGGAGCAAGGAAGCGAACCTGGTTCCCCAGATTACAAATCTACCGTTCTTAACCACTACACCACACTGGCTAAAATCTTGCACACTGGTAAAAACTTGCACAGGTGAACGGGTCGACTCTTCAGAGACTCTGGACCCAAATAGTTGAGGGTGTTAAAGTTCAACATCAGCACTTTGAACTGTGCTTGGAAGATATGGTCATCATCACAATCCCTGTTAATAATTCCATCACCATACAGTGGTGCCTCGCAAGACGAAATTAATCCGTTCCGCGAGTGTCTTCGTCTAGCGGTTTGTTCGTCTTGCGAAGCAACCCTATTAGCGGCTTAACGGATTAGCGCTATTAGCGGTTTAGCGGCTATTAAAGGCTTATCGTCTTAGCGGATTAGCTGCTAAAAGGCTATTAAAGGTTTAGCAGCTTAGATAAAGGGGGGGAAAAGCGAAAAAAAAATCTCAAGACTCGCAAGACATTTTCGTCTTGCGAAGCAAGCCCATAGGGGAATTCGTCCTGCGAAGCAACTCCAAAACGGAAAACCCTTTCGTCTAGCGGTTTTTCCGTCTTGCGAGGCATTCGTCTTGCGGGGCACCACTGTATTCTGAACCAGATGAACTTGGGATTTCATCAACTTGAATACTGTGATGTCATCTGCTAACCTCACTGTTCAGACAGACAGACTCCAGGTAATTTATTAATTTAAGTATCAATGCAGGTCCTTGCGGGACCTCACTGTTCACTCTCTTCCACTTAACAATTTGGAAGAGGGTTTTTTAAAAAAATCTTACATCATAACTGCTAGTTATGCTAGTCTTTGATAAAGAAGTTTCTCCAAAACCTTTCGAAACCTCATATAATATCTGCCAGATCAGATGTGAATTGCAAACCATGATTTCGTCAGATTGGGGTGTATTAAAGCTGTGCACATGAGGAAAGCAAGAGGAAACATTTGAGCTTGTGGAACTCAGAGGATTGTCTAGATGCTGCTACTGTTTGAAATGCATTCTTTCTCTCTCTTCAATACTTTATATAGAAGTTTAAGAAACCTTTATGCAAGGCTCGCTTACCCATGATCCTAAATATACAGGAAGAAAGGGTTCTTTCCTCTGTTGCAGAAAGAAAATGACCATTAAAGCAAAGACATAAGGTGGTAAGCCACCCTCTTCAGGACGATCTGCACAACAGAGCTATAAGAAAGGAAAAGGAAAAGAAAACATTCATTGAAGAGCACTGCGAGCAAGCTTCAGAATCCTATTAGATGTGGCCTGCTGTTAAGGTAATGCTGCTATAGTATGGAGATCACAAGCACCCTGCAGGCTCACATCCTTCTACGTCCCCCACTTTCGCTGTGTGAAATTCCCCACACGGCTTTCATGTTTAGAGCAAAGATAGAGAAGTGTTACATATGAACAGGAACTTTCACTCAGATAAAACTGTTTGCAAACCCACTTCTATCCATGGCTAGCCAAGCACCATTGTAGCTATTAACACACTACCATTATCAGTTCTGAAAATGAACAGAATGGGAGAATTTACACATCAGAAGAGGGGGAGACGAAGGTGTGTGAGCTCAAAGAGCACTTCCAATCACCTAACTGTGATTATGATATCAGGAAACATAATGTCTGTACTTCAGTACTGGGTACAGATCTTGGATCCCTGATTTGAGTTTTCTTTTTTTTTTAAAGGAGGTAGGAAACATGGCTTTGAAAGTTTGGGCAATGGATTTTAGTGGACAAAAATAAGTGTGCTGACTCTGACTCTGCCCATGAATAGCTATGATCACACAAAGCCAGGATTACAACAGAAGCTATCTGTTCCAACTTATCGTATTTTGCGCCCCATAGGACGCACCGGCCCATAGGACGCACCTAGTTTTTTGGGGGGGAAATAAAGAAGAAAAAAAATATTTCCCCCCAGGTGCGGGGCTGGAAGAACCAGGTCGGGGAACAGCGGGAAGGCACGCTCCGTCTCCCCGCTGTCCCCCGAGCTTGTGGGGCTGGCGATGGGGAGAAGTGCGCTGAGCCCGGGACTGGAGGCAGCTCTGCGCGGCCATCGGAGCCGGTCTCCCGAGGGTTGCGCAGAGCTTCCTGAAGCCTTCATTTTTGGAGGGGAAAAAGTGTGTCCTATAGGGCGAAAAATACGGTATGTCATACCTTAGGAATACTTCTGTGCTTGGTTAGATATAGATACATAGGTGAAACAAGTCTTACCTCCAGGGTCTTGTCTGATTTGGGCCAAAAATCTCTTACAATCAGGAGAGGTATCACTTGAAGCACCAAGCTATATATAAAATAGCTAAACTTGAAGGGGCTGCCTCAGGTTTCTACCATTTTCCAATCACTTGCTATGACTATTGTTTCAGAGTTATAGCAAGTTGGAGGCCACACAAATTCTTCAGAAAGAAGTATGTTTCCTAATCCAATATTCAAATGCTACTAAACAGAGTTCAGGTGTTGGAAAATTTAGCTGTGATTGTCTAAAGCTAACTTGCCCCCCATGTTTAAGAAACACATTATTTCAGATAGAGTGGCTGGGGGAACCCAGCCAGATGGGCGGGATATAAATAAGAAATTATTATTATTATTATTATTATTATTATTATTATTATTATTATAGTAGCTGGCATGCAACATTCAATCATGAATGCAGAAAGGCTCAGCTAGCTCCAAAGCGTTAAGTACATTTGCTTAAATTAAGTATATATACAGAATAAAGCTTTTTAAAAATTAAAAATTAAAGGACAGAGTACACATTGTACACACAACCTTAATCATGGCCAGTGTTAGAAACTGAGATATGAAAGCTAGGAGCTACATGGCACTTTAAACCGAGGTTATGGGCACAACAACGGAATGTCTAGGTGTGCTTTTTAATAACAAGAATACAAAGCTGAAAATGAACGAACTGCAGCTAAAATATTATGTTCATTGTTCACATGGTCTAGGTCCTTTCCCTGCCCCCCCCCCCCCCCGCTAATATTCTTAAGAGGGTCTCTTCTCCAGTCTTCAGAGTAGCTGGAATTAGGGAGGCAGAAAAAGGTCCTCCTTTCCTTCTACTCTGCAGTTTTAATCTGAAATCTTAGGTGCAGTATTGCGCCCAGAGCTCAGAAACTGCTCGAGCTAATAAAATTCCCTGTTGCAAAATGCGCCTAGAACAATGGGATTTTTGAACACTGATCATGGCAAACAATGTAAGTATTTGTGCTTTGCTACAAAGCCAGACTTACCTTGGCCCAGTGTCTAAAGGCAATTACCAGGGACACAAGAGGAGGTTCTAGTTTTCCTAGTTTAGCCAAGTGATTTGTTGTCAGCCAAGCGTTTTCATTCCCAGCACTTACTCTGCAAACAAGGCCACTAAAATGATAAAAGACACATATGTAAAAACCATATTTTCACTCCCTAGGAAAAGCAAACTAAGGGTAGAACTGGAAATGAGTGGATACCGCAGAAAACAGCATTTCCTTATTTCTCCCAGAAATATGGCAGAAATAAGCAAGATATGACGTCATGACTACAATGTTGGTGCATCACATGCTCTTCTACTAAATGTTATTCAGGAGGTGAGGAAGTGGAACAGCCGTGAAACTGGTCTTTTCAGTGGCAGTCACTGAATGGGTGGTTCTATCTGATGTGTAATAAAGACTTAAATCACAGCCGCCATGATGTTTTTTAATTCACAAATGAGATACCTGCTTGTAGAGTGAGATTTTTCTATTTAGACTTGAATCAGGCGGTTGGATTAACATGCAATAACAGGGGCCATATATAACAATCACAGTTGACATACTTGGGAATTATTGGATCCTAACTTATGGTTGGTTTATTGTTGTATGAAAGCTCATTTGTATACTATAGTGAATCCTCATTAGCAGGGTTTGAAGAAAGACAGGCTAATGGATTGTCATCCTATCAAGGAAGTAGCTAGAAGAATTTCTGCTTAAATGTCTGTACTGAAGCTATAATAAATATATACATTATGACTGCATAAAACTCACTTGATGTGACGCGGATTACGCTTAATTGCAGTCATTACTCGCATTAGCCTTCTAACAGACAATTATGCTTTGGAATAGCACTTTAATGACTCTTAAAAACTACATTAGCCTACTTTTTAATAGATGATTTACTTACTTCAGTTGGTAAACAAGCACTATGTAAATGTAAACCATTTAATTATGCTATGGCTCTTATTAACGTATTAATAAACTGTAACAGCTTTAAGTAAGTGGTGCTATGTAAATGGTTAGAAAAATATACCAGAGTGTAGTCCTTTCCCCTATTTAATATTAAAGTTGTGCCAGCTGTTCTTGATGTTTCTCATAGCACAAATATGTCTACTGAGAAGTTCTGAGTTCAATGAGGCTTACTACCAGGTAAGCAGGAACAGGATTGAAGCCTTGGGGTGATATCCAACAGTAGTCATATTCAGAGTAGTCTCATCAAAGTCAATAGACCTAAGTAACTTAAGTCACGAGTCTACTATGAGCATGACTTAGCTTGATATTATCTTAGTAAGACCCTAACCCTAAACTTATTTACAAGAAACTACAGCTGGGATAAGGCTTTATGCTTGCATCACATGTGTAAATTGCTTCTTTTTGTTTTGTTTCTTTTGCCCTTTGAAGGCAAGGATGCAGAAATGAAGTGATTCTTAGGGCACTGATGAGAGTGGAAGAAGCAGTCCTTACTGTTAGATTCTACCATAATTTGTTTGCTCACATTACTATGGGAATCAATATATTTAGAATGATTTAATACAGAAGCCAACAGAGATGTGTGGATCTTTAATTTACATTGTTCAGTACTATACACACACACAAATTTGCTATCAGAGACCTTTGTTTTTCTTTGCACACCACCACAGGCACTCTAGCATGGAAATCTGCATCAACATCAACAAAAGATTCTAAGAAGGGGAAAAAGAAAGCCACATTAATCATGGTACTGAAGAAAAATAAGATGTATAAACTGTCTCACACACAGAAGAGCAGAGGAAAATCTTCTACTCCCTTGCTGGTCTTTTACATTCACATGTATTCAGTTTTCATGTCACAACTACAGCCATCCCTTTGAATCTATAATGTGCTGGTTCTCCTGATAAATACCTCTTCAATACATACAGGGTTCAGCTGTCAGTGGGCAAAACATTTGCCCACGTGAATGGAGCTTCAGATGGTCATCTGAATCCATTCTTAGACTGCAAAAATTAAAGACCAGAAGAAACCCTCTAATGATACTAATAAATAAAACTAGTCAGCAACAACAACAACTGTTCCGCTTAAGCCACACAAACCCATGGGCCTGATCCTTCACAGCTTGACCAGTGGTTCAGGCCCTTAAAATGAGCGATGGAAATGCAGCAGGGTTTGCCTGTTCTTTCTCTCTTTTGAGTAAGTAAACAGACATTTTTGGGCACAGTAGTATCTCTGCCATATTAAATCATACATTTGAAGATTAAGGTACTTATCTAAGTTTCAATTCACACATATATTTTTGTTTTCATTCAGCTTCTATTAATTACCAAGGTATTAAAAAAGGGCCACCAGCTACCTGTTTTTATAAGCATAAAGGAAACAGGCAAATGAATATCTTTATCCAGACATGACGCTTGGTTCACATGGTGCTGATTAGGTGGCTGAGCTTGAAAAAACACCCGTAAAGCAATGGCTCAGGAGTAATCCTAATAGTAATCATAATAATAATTTTATTAATTATACCCCGCCCATCTGGCTGGATTTCCCCAGGCACACTGGGCAGCTTACAGCAGATCTAAAAACATCAAGCGCTAAAAACCTCCCGATAAAGGGGTGTCTTCTTAAAGTTGTGTAAATCTCCTTGACATTTGAAGGGAGGGTGTTCCACAGAGAGGGCACCACTACCGAGAAGGCCCTCTGCCTGGTTCTTTGTGGCTTCACTCCTTGAAGTGAGGGAACCAGCAGAAGACCCTCAGAGTAGGACCTCAATGTCTGGGCTGAGTGATGGGGATGGAGACGCTCCTTCAGGTATACTGGGCCAAGGCCGTTTAGGGACTTAAAGGTCAGCACCAAGACTTTGAATTGTGCTCGGAAACTGGGAGCCAATGAAGGTTCTTTAGGACCTTTTTAATGTATTTGTTAAAGATGTGGAAGTATGTGATAAGAAGGCAAACCATGTTAAGATAACTGACAGGCAAACAGAACCAACAAAATGACTGCTGAGACAAGTCTACGGGCTATGCTTACACTCACAATAAAATGTGTGGCTTAGTAGTACGCAGGTTGTACTTACTGATCAGTTTGTATAACTGACACCTCTGTTGGTGTATAAAAAATCAGGAACGATTGTTTCAGAAAATGATGCACTAACTAGCATTAAATGCCAAGGACTGCCCGTGTTACAAACCTTATTTTAATTATTGGCATTCGTTAGCCAATCTGCTTCATTCGGGGTTCTTAAAAATAGTTACAGTGGAGTTTTGCCCACCATCTTAATGCAGGTTTAGGAGTGAAGTGGCAATTCCTGATTCTAACCTGTGGAACCAGCAGTCAATATTCCAGATAAATCAAGACAGAGTACAAGGACATAAGAACCTAAGAGCCCACTGTATCAGGCCCATATGGCCCATGTGGTCCAGTATTCTGTTCTCACGGTGGCCATCCCAGACATCAGATCACTTCTGTTTTCCTTCAATCTTCCCTTATAAACCATCTCTTTTAGCCTTTTCCTCATATCCTGAATGAAGCCTTAACAACAAAGAGTTGATGGGTTGCGGTTGTATATGGCCAAGTGCATACTATAGAGGTGTTGCCTCTTTTTCTGCTACCTGATACATGCTAACACCTCTATCTGTTGATGGATGGCCATCCTGACTCGGCCCCAGACACACTGACCAGATGTTTGGAAGCTGTGGCTGGATGGTTACGCGGAAGCCGGTTGAAGTTAAATCCTTCGAAGACAGAGGTCCTCTGGCTGGGACGGGACGATATGGGATTGGGGGCAACTCCCATCTCTTGCGGGGTGCAATTAGTGCCAGCACCGTCCGTTAAGAGTTTGGGTGTAATCTTCGATACCTCCCTCTCTATGGAGGCGCAGATTACAGCTATAACAAAGGCGGCATTTTTCATCTCCGCCAAGCTAAGCAGTTGGCCCCTTATCTCTCTCGCCCTGACCTAGCCACTGTGATCCACGCGACGGTCACCTCCAGACTGGATTATTGTAACTCGCTCTACGTGGGGCTGCCCTTGAGACTGACCCAGAAACTCCAGCGGGTGCAGAATGCCGCGGCGAGACTCCTTATGGGGTCTTCGCTGCGAGATCACATTCATCCGGTACTATACCAGCTGCACTGGCTCCCGGTGGAGTACAGGATCAGGTTTAAGGTGCTGGTTTTAACCTTTAAAGCCCTATACGGCCTAGGACCCTCGTACCTACGGGACCGCCTCTCCTGGTATGCCCCACAGAGGAACCTACGGTCTGCAAATAAAAACATCCTGAAGGTCCCAGGCCTCAGAGAGGTTAGGCTGGCCTCAACTAGAGCCAGGGCTTTCTCGGCTGCAGCTCCAATCTGGTGGAACGCTCTGTCACAAGAGACTAGGGCCCTGCGGGACCTGACATCTTTCAGCAAGGCCTGCAAGACAGAGTTGTTCCACCAGGCCTTTGGTCAGGGCCCAGCCTGACTCCCACCTCCGGCAACCTGCACAGAACTTTGCTTAACGGTTGCCATTAATTTGATTTTAATTAATTTTTATAATGAAATGTTTTAGAATGTTGGATTATTTGATTGTTTGATTATTTGTTTGTTGTTAGCCGCCCTGAGCCTGGCTTTGGCTGGGGAGGGCGGGATATAAATAAAATTTATTATTATTATTATTATTATTATTATTATTATTAGGCCCCATCAGCTCTAAGAAACATTTGGCTATACTTTTCTCCTGTAGCCAAAATTTCTGGGGAGCCATTATGATCCATATGATTCCTCCATTCTTTTTCTCAAGCTATGGTTTGTTGGGCTTTGGATGAGCTGCTTTGAAAGAATTATAAATCAACCATTCCAATCCAGACATCTATCTAGTACCATCTTCCACCACCACTGTGCTAATACTCTCTCCTCTTAGTTGCTGTATGAAAATAGGGACAATGGCACCAGTCATTAGATACAGGCAGTCCTGTCCACTGCCTACCCTCAAGAGATATTTGTTTGGTGCTACTTGCACAGAAATGACATTCTCACCCAATGTAGGTGAGGACATAGCTAAGTCGAGATATGAATGAATGGGCCTTACCACTATTCTTCAGGCTCTCTTGTACAAGTAAGAGAACATCTGGTTGGGACATCTATAAAGAACAGCAAAACAAAACTATAAAATTTTAACATTTACTGATGTTATTATTTATTTTGAAATATTAGTATAGTATTTTGTGACATTTAACTTGGGAAAACTAGCTGTCCGGTGGTACTTTAAAAAGTAGAGGTGGCTTTAATGCAAAAAAAAAAAAAAATTATGATAACCAGACAATCATTCAGTGCATGTATCCACAGCAGTGACCTGTAATCAGTGGAGGAATGACTGCTGGGAAATATGCAGAAAGAAGAAACACCATGGTACATCTGTGACAGCACAACCAGACGCCCTCACTTGTCCCAGTTGCAACAAAACATCTCTCTCCCATATCGGTCTCACAGCCACAGCATGTGCTGTAACTCTCCAATGCTTTGACTCTTCCACTGTCTCTGGAGACAGATGGATGCCAACCAATAACCATATTAAAAAAGAGAATCTCATTAAAACTTTAGTTCACATCAATAGTTATTTGAGGTTTTGTATATGCATCTTTGCTATGCTTTGCTTTGCTTTTATAAACTGCTCAAATTTATAACTTTCCCAGAACTGTAGGCATGCATGTTGATTTTTATAGTACCATTATGGCTGCTATGAACCATGTAAACTTAATTTGGCAGCAAAGCTGCTAGAATATTTCCTGAAGAAAATGATTACTTACATTAGCTGGAAACTGGATATCTAGATTTACATCTGAGTTTTTGAAACCAAATCTGCTGCAAGAAGAGCCATACAGTCTTAGAGAACAATCTATAGTGAATGAAAATGGAAAATTTCAATTTGAAATGCAGAACAGGGGAAAATACTTTCTTCTCCACAAAGAAGTCTTGACCAGAGCAGATCCAGGAATAACAGGAGTTTACACTCCCCACATCCATTCCTGGTTAACCTATGTTCTATCCATGTTTAAAGGACATGAATATGAATCTGATTTAGCGATATTTAAGCACTGCTTATTTTTAGCCATTATGCTGGCTTCTCCTTTAGCAGTTCACCTATTTTACAGCGCTGGGTCTATATTTTGCATCAAGTAACTAAGATACTGGGACGCGGGTGGCGCTGTGGGTAAAACCTCAGCGCCTAGGACTTGCCGATTGCATGGTCGGCGGTTCGAATCCCCACGGCGGGGTGAGCTCCCGTCATTCGATCCCAGCTCCTGCCCACCTAGCAGTTCGAAAGCACCCTTAAGTCAAGTAGATAAATAGGTACTGCTTTATAGCGGGAAGGTAAACGGTGTTTCCGTGTGCTGCTCTGGTGCCGGTTCGCCAGAGCAGCTTCGTCACGCTGGCCATGTGACCCGGAAGTGTCTGCGGACAGCACTGGCTCCTGGCCTCTAGAGTGAGATGAGCGCACAACCCTAGAGTCTGTCAAGACTGGCCCGTACGGGCAGGGGTACCTTTACCTTTACCTTTTTAACTAAGATACCACGGAAATACAACCTGGATCACCACTTGTTAAAGACAATTATAATAAAATGTTACCTGGCAATTTCTGATGCAATACACTTTCCATGGCAGTTTTAACTCCAAGCCGTTGTTCCAAGTCTTCATTGTTTAAACCAAACTCTTGCACTACTTTCTCAATGGCAACACCAATAGCTTCAATCTGCAAAGGCGTTGGTGGAGGTAGGGCAGTCAGCAGTTGTTGTTCTTGCTTTTCCTTTAGAGATAATATGCAAGAAATATATAATTTTTTTCTCTCAGAATCATTTTAATAATGTAAAAAGTACAGTTTACCTACTTTTATTTCTCCATACTATTTTGGGGGGTTTTTTTGGGGGGGGGGGAGAACCAATTCTAATGTCCCTGCAAAGCGCATTTCCAAAAGTATGTCCTCTTACTAGCTAAAACATCACAGATAATATTTACTCACAGAAAAGCATTTCTTGTGCAAGAGAAACAAATGTAAGAAGACGTACTATGTACTCCTATTTGTATTGTGGTAGTAATGCGCATAACACTTTGCAGAACAAAAAGGTCCCTAGGTAACCCAAGGAGCTTACAACATAAATTCAACGTTGTTTAGAAAAACGACAGCAAGGGTAACAGGCATCAACATGGCAAGCCAGATGCCAAGAGAAAATAAAGGTATTCATGAGATGGTAAAAAAACCCACCAAAAAGAGGGCAAGGGAGGCCATTTTAAGCAGGGGATTTCAAATCCGTACCATGGCTTCCTGCTCATGCCCAGATCCAGCATGAACCAATTGCCACAACTCGAAAGGCTTCCACAATCTTGCCACTTTCTGATCTTGGCTCTCTTACCCAAGTACATCCCTGGCTGCAACATTCGTTCCTGCGTTTCAACCTCCCTCAGCTTCCTCAAGGTCTCTGGCTCCCACAAATGGCTTTGCTATTTCCCCCTTGAGCCACCATCCGAAGACATCTGTCCCGGTAGGGATTTGGACTGCTGAGTCAACGACTTTTCTAATCAACTCCCTAGAGCAAGCATGTGGCACTGTGGGTTAAACCACAGAACCTAGGACTTGCCGATCAGAAGTTCGGCGGTTCAAATCCCCGTGATGGGGTGAGCTCCCGTTGTTCAGTCCCAGCTCCTGCCAACCTAGCAGTTCGAAAGCATGTCAAAGTGCAAGTAGATAATAGGTACCGTTCCGGCGGGAAGGTAAACGGTATTTCCGTGCGCTGCTCTGGTTCGCCAGAAGCGACTTAGTCATGCTGGCCACATGAGCTGTACGCTGGCTCTCTTGGACAATAAAGCGAGATGAGCGCCGCAACCCCAGAATCGGCCACGCCTGGACCTAATGGTCAGGATCCCTTTACCTTTACCATCAGAGCAAGTATGGCTCACCTGCTTCAGCCCAAGGACTGCATGTTTGGCTGCAGGCCACTTCCTCTTGCACACATGTGCAGCTCACAACATGCACCTATTACCCCTCCCTGCGTCATCTCTATTGCTCCCTCCCCACTAGTTATAGGTCCCAAGCACAGAACATCCTGCCCTAAAGCAGGGAAGGTTGGAATAAGGTTGCTAGGAGGGGGCAATGTAGGGGCTCCCATGTTTAGCTGCTGCTGCTCATCAGCTACCATACTGACATGTGATATTTTGAGCTTTCTCTTAATAATCTGCACAACACACACACACAAAACCCCTGTAATGCTTCTATAGCTCTGACTGGCCGTTGACTCACCTTTATGTTTTTCTTGTGTCTCTTTTCTTTAATATGCTTATGAGCAAAAGCCACCGACTCAATCAAAGTATCGCATAACTTGCAAGTGTATTTGGCTGTTGGGTAACTTCGAGGGCGCTAAGGAGAACAATGTATTAAAATGTATTGATTTTAATTTATTTATTTCCTAAAATTTATTTACCGCTTGATCGTAGAAAACAACAACTTCAAAGTGGTTTACAGAAAAATTTCAACTGTAATTTAAAATACAGTCATACCTAGAACGCCTTGGGAGTCTAACATTCTGGCTCGCGAACACTCAAAAACCGGAAGGGAGTGTTCCAGTTTTTGAATGTTCTTTCAGAAGCCAAACGTCCGACGGGGCTTCTGCAGCTTCCCATTGGCTGCAGGAGCTTGCTGCAGCCAATCAGAAGCCGCACTTTGGAAGTTAAATGTTTCGGAAGTCAAGAAGACTTACGAAACAGATTCTGTTCGACTTCCGAGGTACGACTGTATACAAAAAGTTTAAACCACAATAAAATAGACTAAAACAAATCAAAGCTTCTGCAGATATATCATTTCACAATGTTCCTGTCAAGACGAGTCACCTGGACTCAGAGTCAAACCATTTGTCAGAAAACATCTAGGATCATTTAAATAGCACTGAGAAGTAGCATTTCAGTCCTATAGGAAAGCTATGATATGTATCTCCATTCATGCTGAACGGACCTTATTTCCAGTTCACTTAACAGCATGGTCTTTCCTGCGCAGGCATGATACTCATATTGAAACATCTATGTACTACCTATTAAATCAGGCAGCTCCCTGACTCTAAAAATTGCTTAAGGTCCAATAATGTGCCTTTGATTCAGATTTGAAATGATTTTTACATATTCATTCCTTGGGCCTAAATCTGAGCTGCACATTGATTACTTCAATATCTGTGTTGACAAGTGAGAATTTTATTAATAAAAATTACCCAGACATTTCATATTCCTGGATCAGCGCAACATTTAAGTTATGTCAATGATTTTGTTGTGTGATTGGAATTTTTACAAAAGACTGTGGATATGAGAGTTAACCACTTCAAAGGAATTCTTTCCTTGAGAAGAGAGGGGAGAATCAGACCTCTTGATGGACGGACTCTCAACACACACCCTCCTGAAAGTGTCTGCAACCATACGGAGATGTGACTTTTAAGAACGATCTGGGTAAGCCTTTCCATTTTTTTATTCTAAGGATAGTACTGTGGCTTATGATGTTTAACATGAATTACATCAGATCATCAGTGTATCACAGAAATGGTAAGAATAAGAATACTTATATAGCATTCCAGCTATGTCTCTGCTCTTTAGATTTTCTACCTATTGACCACTTTGCTGAATGTTAAAAAAACCTTCAAATATTAATACAGTACGTCTACTCTGCCCAATGCAAGATTCATTAAACCAAAGTAATAAATTACAGGTGTTCATCCAAATTATTGCTGCTCATCATAATGAACAAGCAGCACTATCCCCTTGTAAGCATTTTCAAATACATAAAAATAATCTGTGGTTAAACATGTTCCTTGCTTTCCCAAGTCCTTTCCCACCATTGTTGCTCTTCTCATTTGCCAAGCATATTCCTAACTGGTATTCTTCAGTACCAATATTTGCACATTTCACCCCAAAACAAGAATATATATATATTGCAGAAATAGCTACCTTCCTCAGCCTGTAAATGAAGTCTCGCTTAAGTCGTTCTTCAGCCTGTTGAAGCCCTAGCAATTCTTTTGCTGTCAGCAAAGATTCATCTATAACCGGCCCATCCATATCCTCCTCTTGATCATTTTCTTCTTTTCTTATCCGTCTTGATCTTCTTGGCTTCCTATGTTTCTTTGTTTCTTTTGAACAGTTATTAGAACAAAGTTGCTGTAAGTGCACGGCACAAATAACGACTGTGACCTTAGTGCATTTCCGCACCTAAACAAACCATCGTTGAGAAACCATTCAAGCTTCAGATGGAATCTACAGTTGCGATGCAAAAACTCTCGAGTTTGCAACCCAACAAGGGAAGGCACAACATAACATAAGGCACCTAGAATATGAAAAGATGTGGAGTACAATCCAATGCCCCCATTGTACCCAGCAAGACTTGACTTGCAACTCTATCCTTTGCTCACTTACCTGGGAGTAAGTCCCTTTGCCCTCTCACTAGCCATATATAAAACTTTGCTGTTACTGTGCATAGGGTTGCAGTCTTAAAGTATCACTGCTTTTATCTTCCTACAAATGCCGTTTTGGGAACCTTTTTAATGTACTTATTAAAGAAGTGGAAGTATGTGATAAGAAGGCAAACCATGTTAAGATAATTGACAGGTGAACAGAACCAACAAAATGATGAAGTACATTGTTATGGAGTGGATTTTTGATTTGGACTCTAATGCCAATAGGGTTGCTGTGGACCCCAGAAACTGTCTGGAATACAGTAAGCCCTCAACGTACACTGGGGTTACTTGCACTTAAAGCCAAAGTTGCATATGGGTGGGACTGCCAGTTTCCCCCTCCCCGACGCCTGTCCCCTTTTTAAATTTTTTAAAATTATTTGCCAAGCACATAAAGCTGAATGTGCACAAGTTAAATGTGTGCAAGTTGCCAGGCTTACTGTATTTGCAAACCTTTTTTTTGCCATGTGAACCACTTCACACTCTGTGTACTCCTCAACAATTATGGGGTCAGCTGTCCTGTGTTGCCCTGTTTTTCAGTTTTAAAAAAAGTTTAACTTACTTATGGGTCCAATTTACCTATCTGGACAAATGGGAAAGTGAAACTATCAATGCTCATTGAGACCCACCCCATCCCCAAGCAACATCTCCAAATAGGGTAGGAAAACCTTAGCATTTTGCCTATATCAAAATTTCCATTTTTATGTGCTTATACCACTTCAAGAGCACTGTAATAGATTTTTATGTTTGTATGTGTATATCATATATATAGAAACAGAACAAAATGTACGTTCCTATGCACACACAAAACTTATAAAGGATCCCAGGAGTCAATTTTAACACACACACACACACACACACACACACACACAAAAGTTAATTCTGCTCATAGCTGTCAATGTTTCCCTTTTTTTAAGGGAAATTCCCTTATTCCAAATAGGATTCCTCGCAAGAAAAGGGAAAAGTTGACAGCTATGATTCTGCTCCAAATTGGCTTTTATCTTAACATAGTGCAGACTCACAACACTGATTTCTTTTTTGTAATATAGGTGGTGATCATTTCGCATGGGGGTTCCATACCTGGCCCCCACCTCGTTCTGCCATTTTCCAGGTCCAAAAGAACCCAAATGTCGGTGACTGCACATCAATGGGATGCACCTAAAATGGTTGTCATCTGAATTTTTTGGAGGCAGGGAGGACAGGCCTCCCTATTAGGCTATCAGGTACATTGGATTCCTTCCATTATTTACTATGAGTCCAGAATTTCAGACAGGCATCATTTTGCTTTCCCTTTCATTAACATTTAGGCAGGGACCAACAGTTTGTTTTAGTCTACGCTTTTGAAATGTGATACCACATCCTGTTTTGTTAAAGTAGAATAGTGTTGAAATCAATCTCAGGGTAGTATTGAACTAAATTTTACTCGGAGTAGACCCACTGAAATTAATGGCCATAACTAAATTAGATCCTTTAATTTCAGTGGGACTACTCGAAGTAAAACATAGTTGTCAAATTACCCTTAACCTTTATTTTCAGATACAACTTTAAAGGGGTCTACTGAACCCCAATAGCAGATAAGCACTGTCAAAAAGTGGTGAAAAAGAGTTAACTTGATATGATTTTATTTTTTGCTTAAATCATTTCCATACCACTTTATATCTCAAAAAATCTCAAAGTGGTTTGTTTTTCTTTCCGAAGTTTCCCAAACAGCTCCTGGTCATTTGAATTGCATTAAAAAATTGAGATCACCTTAAAATTCTCCACCCAACCAGGCACCTGTATGTTTTGCTTAAGGTGTGGGACTAATCTTGGTAACAGCTAGGCTTTTTGTTTAAAAAAAATGGGAGGCGGCCAATGCTTCTTTATTCCAAAATCCTAGGTGTGTAACCTGATCTATGTAGCATCTAGCAAAAATTTATTCAGCCTCCGTCTTGGAAAGGAGTCTACAAAATCACCTTACGGCTACAGCATGTGGCCTACTTTTTGAACGTGTGTGTTGTTTGTCCTCCCCCACCAACTCCTTTATATAACACTTTACTTGTTGAAGAGTTCTGCAGAACTCAAAACCTTGTTATTATTTTGTAACATTCTGGTTGATCCTACTAAAGGTATTACCCAACTGCGAATTTTTGGAATTTAAGCTTGTGTCTCTTAATATTTGTGTCACCAAACAGAAAACAGCATTATCCTAAGCATCCTGTTCTCATGCTACATTAACTTACAGCCATGAATGCAGGTGGCGGTAGAGGAAATCAAGTAGTTTTAAGATAGGGATGGGGAATCTGTGGCCCTCCAGATGTTGAACTACAATGGCCATGCTAGACGCAGATGATGTAAGACATGGTCCAACAGCAACAGAAGGGCAGCAGGGTTCCCACCAATGCCTTAAGCCGGAAATCAAGCTTTTACTTAAAAGCACATTTTTATCCCTTAAGCGCACCCATTCAGGGCTTTGGAAGTCCCTTTGGAAGTGCCCCTGGCACCAGTGCACATTTGAGTTGGCTAGAGCAGGTAGCTGAAGATGGAAAAATCTCAGACGCATGTTTTACTCAATTCATTTAGGGTACAATACACCCCAAAGTTCTCTTGTGTAAGCTGGGCATGACCATCACCATTTCAGTAAGGATTGTGCAACACAGCTGCCCATTAGATTTTGTCCCCAAGTACTGATTCTGTCACATGGGCATTTGTGCAATACTGTGTAAATTTAAGGGCCTACTGTTAAATTTTAGATGACATTCTTAAAATATTGGGACGACTGTTTATGAATCTGAAATATTTCCCCCCAACCTTTTCTGGTGGGTTTCATAGTTATTGGGAAGGCAGATAGCAACACAGCTTTTAGCCACTTACCTTACACAGGATACAACTGTGATTGCCACAACAGCTAAAGCAAGATATAGGATTGATATCAACCCAGTCATTCTTTGGTTGTTTTTTAGATTAGCAGGTATTGTGCCATAACTTAGCAATAGAGCACTATCTTGAAATATTGTAGATTTTATATTTTCTAAGGTTAGAAGATACCTAAAGACAATTCTTAAGACTACAGTCACCCCAAAATATTTGAACACATTTTAAAATACAAGAAAATGATCTAAAGGTGTTTATATTACCAGAATTTCCTTTCCTATCTGATAAATCATCACTTGTTAAGTCTCTCTGGAGCTGCTTCCTTCCATTTCTGTTTCCTTGGCTCTCGCACTCATGAGAAGAATCCTTCCTTGTCCTGTTAACCACAGGAATCCGAGGTGTAGATCTGTATTCTCTCCAACTGTCTAAATTAGCATGATGGTTGTCAGACACCCACTTTTTAATTTGGTCTTTTGAGGCTTCATTTATCCTCATCCCTTGATTGTGAACAGTGTTTTTAGAAGAATTCGGGTGATTTGAAACACCGTGTGCTCCCTTTCGGGGACTTGTTCCATAGTGACCCAGTGCTCCCTTTCTTTTCTCAATCCCTATGTCCATCTTGTTGCCGTGTCCATTTCCATAATCATCCATTGCTTGGTAATCGTGACGTAAAGCACACTTCTGGAAATCCTCCTCATTTAAAATCCCCCGCTCCTTATTACGTCTGGCAAAGCATGGTTTTGAGGCATCTCCCATCATATTAGCTGTTCACTCTTTCCCTGTGGGATGGGGAAAGAAATACATGTTCAAAACGGGACAGGTAGGATGTCATGAAGAGGGCAGGGGTGAGTTTGACTACGTGGGAGACTTAGGGTCAAATTTCCACTAAGCTTACTGGGGCACCTTGGGCAAACTACTCTCTCTCACCCAGCCAAGCTTTTACAGTCATACCTTGGGTTACAACCGCTTCAGCTTGCGCTTTTTCTGGTTGCGGACTGCCGAAACCCGTTAGTACCGGAACAGGTTACTTCCGGGTTTTGGTGGTCGAGCATACGCAAACGCGGGTTGCGAAAGCTGCGGGTTGCGAACATGCATCCCGCACAGATCATGTTCGCAACCCGAGTGTCCACTGTATTGGTAATCATAGATTCATAGAATTGTAGAGTTGGAAGGGAGCAGAAGAGTCATCTAATCCAACCCTGATCAATGCTGGAATCTTTTATCCAATGGGGGCACAACCCTGAGATTAAGAGTCTCAAGCTTTACCAACTGAGCTATCCCACATAAGAGAAGCCCAGGACAAAGGCCCACCTAGTCCAGCACTCTGTTCTCACAGTAGGCACCCCGATGTCTATAGAAAGCATGCAAGGGAGAACCTGAGCACAAGAGCATTCTCCCCAGCTGTGATTCCCAGAAAACCAGTATTCAGAGTCATACTGCCTCTGACTGTGGAGGTCGAACAAAAATATGTTACCTCTACACAAACCAATTGTCAGATTTTGAAATATAGCATGAAATGTGAGTGAGAAGAGAAATGGGTCACAGAATAAAATTTATGCCAAGTATTGTGACCATCCAAGGTAGTCACACTAATACTGTACAGTAGTACCTCGGGTTAAGTACTTAATTCGTTCCGGAGGTCCGTTCTTAACCTGAAACTGTTCTTAACCTGAAGCACCACTTTAGCTAATGGGCCTCCTGCTGCTGCCGCGCCACCGGAGCACGATTTCTGTTCTCATCCTGAAGCAAAGTTCTTAACTCGAGGTACTATTTCTGGGTTAGCGGAGTCTGTAACCTGAAGCATATGTAACCTGAAGCATATCTAACCCGAGGTACCACTGTAATATATCCAGATTTATACAAACTGCAGCGGATTAGCAGCTCCAGCAAGACTATTGCCTTTAAGAGCTCCTCTGAAGGGTGTGGGTGGGTACACAACCAACATTCCTCAACCTCTATCATTCTGCTAATGACCTAGAAAACATATGCAACACCCAACAAAGAGCACTGAACTCCAAAGACTAGCACAGCAAATAAGAAGCTGATGAGGCAACTACATAGTGCTAGCACTTTGAACTTCAAATTACAGGACTTGCCTCCTGCTCTTGTATTAACAGAGGCAGAAGTTGGAGAAAAGGAGTGGCATCAGTCTTAACTCATCCTACGATGAGTGTGCATGGCTTGTAGCTGTGAGAATTACATACATCCATAGCTGTCAAAATTCCCCACCCCTCTGTCTGACAGGATTACAGAAAGCAGCCAAAATTAACAGCACAACAGATAGCACCTTTGGAACATGAATTCAAAGTGTGCTGTATAAAATGGCACATAGAAAGAGAATTAAGTGAAAATAAAAGCAGGCAGCAACCAGACATAAGCATTAACTCGATACATGCAGCAAAACTGTAAGAGATTTATTTAAAGTCCAGCCTGTTCTATCATTCTTGAGAGTGAGGGCACTTTATCTTCATGCATTCTTAAGGAAACCATCACCTGCTAAGCAATTTAATGTGCATGCAACTTACAATAAGTGTGCACATAAAAGCTAAGGTTATTTTCCTTAAAAAGCAGGACTTCTCTTTCATCTTAAACTGGTATATCAAGTTAGCTGCTTTGAACACGACAGTGAATCTTTGTGCAAAACCATCACACCACAACCTTACACGGGAAGGGACCATAGGTCACAGCCACACGATACCTTTAAAGCAATCCTATTCCACCATAAGTCATGGCTTCACCAAAGAATCCTGGGAAAGGTAGTTTGTTAAGGGTGTTGGGAATTGTAGCTCTGCGAGGGCACTCCTAATAATTTTCAGCACTACAGTCACCAGGATTATCTGGGAGAAGTCATGACTGTCTAAGTGTTTTAAATACACAGTGTGGGTTTGACTCATCCCTGGGCAAGCAGTATTTGTGACAAACTTCCTTGTTGCCAGGGCTTCTTGCTGGCTCTTGCAAGTGAGCAAGCTAGTGAAGGAGGGTTGGGTTGCTTGCTGCCCATCTACCAACTGAGATGATTGCTGTGCTAGCTGCAAAGGAACAAAAATGTATCCCTCCACATCCAGCATGGAAACACAGAGTCTGGCTAGCAGTGAGGTGACAGATCACTCTGTTCCTCTTCCACAAGTGTGTTTGACAGGAAAAACTACCCTGCTAAGACCCTACTTGTCGGTGTTTCCATTCTGGCTGCAGATGAGGGGGCTTCCCCTCCACGGCCAGTATGGAAATATAAGTTACTAGCCTCTTTAGAGGCCAATACAACAGAAAAACAAAAATTACAGGCTAGGTCCTTTTGTGGACTTCATTATAAGGCTGACACTAGCTCTTTCCATAGGTCATTCAGCTTCTTTTTATGTACATTAACAGATTCTCCATGAAGATGAGACAATATCATAAGGATATCCTCAACCCTTCTGTTTTCTAATCATGTCTGGGGTAGGAGCTGACCACTATTTTAATTGTCACACAAAAAGGCACAGTGTCAGGGAAACATAATTTCCATATTTCTGCTTCATCCTCACCTTGAGTCCATCCACTTTTTCCTTTAAAAGTGGTTACAGCTGCCAAGCAGCAAGAACAGCACATGTTATATTTGAAAGTGTCCAACCAACAATAAACTCCGGCAGTCACCACTCACAAGGGAGTTGTTCCCTGGACCCATCAAATACATGTAGCTCAGTAAATATGTAATTACTAAGGCAGAAGCCAGCAGGCAGAGCCTTTTAACACAGAAGGCTAAAGAGCACCTCTGAAACTTCCCTGCTTTGTCTTTCACATATGAATGCTACAGCAGGACAGAACGAAGATAAAGCCTATTACTTAATCGAATGTACATTGAGGCCTACATTACTTTATAAAAATTGTGTGTGCAGGTAACATTTCAGTCCCTATCGCAAACAGATGTAAAATCTCTTGTGAAAAAGAGCTACCTTTCCAATGAACAAACCGATTTCTGCAAACCTCCCTGAGCCCCTTTAAGGATGGATGGCCGGTCTCGGGAGTTTCATCCTCCCCAACATCTCCTTAAGGCGAGCGGTGATCACATTTGAGTATTATTCTCCAATTAAAGGCTTGACTACACAGCCCAATCGATTTTATTTTATTTTATTTCCTGCGGCCAGGCGGGCAGATTTTAAGTCCGTGACACAACAACACACGGGAAAACGCCTCAGGCACCGAGCGGGGGTGATGGGGGTGGGTGTCGCCGTGGGCTCCCCTCCCCTTGCCCAGGCTGAGGTGACTGGGGCCACTTTGGGAGGGGGGAGGGGAAGAGCCCTTCAGGCCCACAAAGACCCCCCTTCCCCTTCCCCTCAGACCGCCCGTCTCCCTCGCACCCCCGGGAAACTACCGGCGGCGGGTGCGCGCTCCCCCGTCCCCACCCGAGAGCCAGTCCGTGCCTCACTGCGGGGGGGGGGGAGAGAAAGAGGCGGCGGCGGCGGCGGCCGGACGGGTGTGGGGATGAACTTACTCGGTAACCGATCTAACCGCCCTTCGGGCCGCAGCCTCCTCGCTTTCGCCTCCTCGCCCTCGCTGCCACGGCCGGCGCCTTATCGCCGCTCCATTGTACCGAGGCGGAAGCCGCCCGCAGCAGCAGCAGCAGCAGCAGCAGCCCCCGTCGCACAAAACCGTCCGAGATCCTTGCCCCCCCCCCACTCCGCCGCCGCCGCTCCTCGTTCCTCGTCCTTCCGCCCTCCAGCTCCTCCTCCTCCCTCTGCCCCGCCCCTCAGCAGCGCCCGGCGCGCCGCCTTCGCGCCATCCGGCGCGCGGTGCTTACCTCACGGTCTGCGGGCGCCATGACACGAGAGGCAGGGGAGACTCGTCTCTCGGCCTCCGCGGCTGGTCGAGAGGAGCCTCGCCGTCGGAGGAGGAGGAGGAGGAGGAGGGCTGAGAAGGCGCGCTGACAAAACACAAACACCACATACGTACAACCCCAGCCACATGGGCGGGGTATAAATAATAAAAATCATTGTGAATTATTCTACGTCGTTTTATTTGTACATGCTGCCTTTCCAAAAGCATGCTCAAGGCGGATTACAACATGAAAATAATAAAAAAGCATAATATTATTCATTGAATAGATTTCCAGTCTGCTTCTTGAGGGGGTTACAACCCCTCACAAAGCTGCCTGGTGCACAAATAAGGTGGTAGTAGAAAAAGATATAGAAGGCTTCCTGCCCGTCCTTTCCTTGTGGGTTTCTCTGGATGACTCTCCAAGGGATAGAAGGCATTCATCCGCCCTGCTTATCTAATGGCATCTCATGCTATCGGCCACAGACACATATTTAAAACATTCCCTGCCTTAGTGTCCATACTTTCAGCAGAATATGTGTGCATAGCTGTCAACCGTCCCTATTTTTTGCAGGAAATTCCCTTATTCCAGCGCTGTTTCCCGCTGCTTCCCGCTCCTATCCCATAGACTGTCCCTGGGACAGGTGAGGCTGCTGATCCCTTATTTTCAAATCTGAAAGTTGACAGCTATGTATATGTTCGCTTTACTTCAAATGCAAGGGCATCAGGGGTAGGTGGGTATGAGGGTAGCAGGATACATGGCTCTGCTCTTTGCTCCACGTTTATTGTCAACTTGCGCAGGAAATGTATCTGTGCTTTCAATATTGTTGAAATATTGTTGAATACTGGCCACAGTTGGCTAAAGGGGTGGGAAGGGGAGAATAATCAGTAGGTGCTGTGCCAGTCGTGTGATGGCAAGTCGCAGAATTCTAAATTATCATAATAATGTGGCTGTGGGTGGGATGAAATTGTATTTAACCATCACTCATCGTTGTGATTTATGCTCAGGGGGAACTGTAATTCCCGTGGAAGGAAGGCATGAGCTTCAGTAATGTTGTTTGTAGTTTTTGCCATTTGTTGAACACAACCAAACATGGCATGTCTAGAAGGGCCATAGAGAAGATCAAGTCCAGTATTCCAGCTTTACTAGTTGTTGCTGTTCTTAATAGGATTGCCTGATGGCCTTCTGATTTTTTTTTATTTTTTTGAATGATTTACAGCCTCTTCATCTACATATTAAAGTAGAAATAGCACAGTAATCTCTTCAAAATAAAGGTCTTTGCGACATAGCACCACACCCAAGCAGAAACTAGGTCAAATTAGCATATATGAAGGACTCTTGACTGATTAAAAGGACTTAGATGTGACAGTGTCTCCTTGGAAATAATTGTCAAAATTGCTTCCAAAACATAATCACTGCTCAAGGTGTGTTATAGCTGGATTTTCCTTTAGATCTGCTGTCAGAGCATGTGTGATAAGGCTTGAGATACTGACTAGTATACTATTATCCAAGGGTGCAAACCGGTGCTGCCAGCTATGTTGTCCTGCCTGAGATTAAAACAGTTTTTGATGGGTTCTTGAAGGTAAAATCTATGTTGATTGCTCATTTGCATTCTCCCCCTTCTTTTCTGAACAATTATATTAACATGAAAGAGAGGGAGAGGTGCTTTAAGCCTCATGCATGTAAACACTACAACTTTAAAGCTATTTAAGCCTCACACATGGGGGGTGGGGCACACAAATTAGACTTTTTGATTGAAATGCCAAAAGGTGGGATTTTGCCACCACATAGAAGGGAGACACCTAAGTGAAAGTATGGCCATTTATAACTGACTAAAATTATGATTTCCAATGCATCAAACATAAGATTTTAAAAATGTACTGTATCGTTTAATATAACATAAAAATTGTAGGTGTGTGGCCAACTTAGAAAAGGGATTTTCATTCTGTCACACCATAGGGAATGCCCCTTCTAAAATGATGTCTACTATGTTGTGCTTATAACTCATTCATTCATGTGCAAATATATGCAGATTTTGTTGATTGTTGATTATTTATTAAATCATGCACTTAATACTAAAAAATTCTTTAGTCAGGCTATAGCTGAACTATAAGAGAAGCCATTGCCTTTAGCTGTTCCCTTCAATACTAGAAATACAGACCTAGATTAACTTTGACTATTCTAAGTTCTGCTTCTTCACTCTCTGCAGTGGCTATTATCAGTGCTATTTTTCTAGAAAAGAGGTGTCGGATCTCACCATGAAGGCTTCCCTTGTTCTCTTATAATGGCAATGGTACCCACCAGAGCTGCCAGAACTGAGTTCCAGTGAGTTCCAGCTGAAAAGAAAAGCCCCTGGTTATAATCAATCAATTTTTGCTAGAAATGTTTCCTGAACCAGCAGCAGAATACTGGAAATATTTAAGGAATGTTAGATTCCAACACTATATTTGCTCTCTTGCTCACATAACTTACATTTGATGCTGATGTGTTCAGATCACTACCCTGAGCAATGGATAGTCCTGAGGCACAACACTTATTGGTGTTCGATTTCCATTGGAATGCTTAAGAGTAGGTTGGGTGGAAACAGGAAGGAAGGAAGGAGGACAAGGCTCCTGAACCTCCTGTCAGGGAGCGAATTTCAGTAGGCGTATATAAGCGAATTCCCTCTTCTTCACAGCTATTAAAGGCACAGAACTATTAAAGGCACCCCTTTGCTTATATCAAAGGTTACCCTTTATATCAAAAGGATACCCTTTATATCAAAGGTTACCCTCAAAGGTTACCCTTTGAGTAAGGCCTGCGTTTAAAATGGAAAATTAGAAGAGCAAAAGAGCTGTCCTCTTTGGTATCTAGCCACCCCACATGTATGGAACGAGGCTGTATGAGGATGAAGACAGATTTCAATAGGAGCTAGAGATACTGGCTCTCTTGAAACATAATGTTTTGTGATATAAAACAGTGGAGGAAACTGCCCCTCCGTCGCTATTCAGCACCCCGTACCTCTACAGTGGTACCTCGGTTTACGAACTTAATCCATTCCTGAAGTCCGTTCTTAAATCAAATCCGTTCTTAAACTGAGGTGCACTTTCCCTAATAAGGCCACCCACCCCCGGTGCCCTTCCACCGTTCGGTTTCCATTCGTAGACCAAGGTAAAGTTCGCAAACCGGAACACTACTTCCAGTTTTGCAGAGTTCGTAAACCGAATTGTTCGTAAACAGGACTGTTCTTAAACCGAGGTACCATTGTAAAACATAAAAATATACCACAGTGGTTTACAACTTTCACAAAACCCATATGATAGAAGCATTAAAAAGTTTAAAATAACATGTCCAGTAGGTCAGTTTCTGCTCACACTCACACATCCCTCTCTGTTCTCCATCCAGAGTTCATAGACTCATTTTAGCCAGATAAAAATACCGTATTTGGGATGCAAAGCAGGACAAGTGAGCAGTGTGTCTTGGGGAGATTTCTGAAGGCCAGAAGTCTGCATTTGGACCTGAAGTTTCCTACTCCTCACCTCAACTGCAAGATGATGGTGGACCATGGAATAAAATAATGCAAAACTGTAAAGTATAGGTGAGGGACAGAAGCAAAGCTGGGATGGTGTTCCCAGTTTCATTTTAATGGTAATCATTATAGTATCACAACATTGTTGTGAGATAATACAGAAGTTTCAAGAGTTGTCAGTTTCCTTCTGTGTCTGCCAACTCGCTTGCTTTCCCACTAAATCATGCAACTGACCTACAAGATCAGTTCAATGTGGGTACAAATCTGATTTGTAATGGCAAGAGTTTTAAAATCAACATTTCTCACTAGATGGCAGCAGATTCATAATAATGTGTAGAAAGGATTGTAGCTGCAGCCCAAATGTAGATTTCTGATGTGTATTCACATCACCTTGTGAAACGGTCCCTCCCATTTTATACACAACATAATTTCTATTCAGTAGTCACTTTCCTATAGGAATCTTTATATAATTTTTGTGAATAGCTAACATATGTGCTGAAAACATTTGTATGTAAACTTGAAAGCTGCTCTTGACCAGATATTCCCAGCATGTATACACATACTAATTTTCATATTTATGAGTTTGTTTATTACTTTATTAAATTTATATTCCACCCTTTATCCCAAAGGAGCTCAGGGTGGCAAGCAACAAGTGACAAAGCAATAATGGAAAAACTAAAACATGCATGTAAAACTATTATTCATTAGAATCCTGATATAAGCAGAGCTTTTTTCTGGTGGAACGTGCCAGAACGCAATACTGGGACCATTTCTTTGGTCAAATCCAAGAAGATGGGATGAATGAGGTGCAACTGGGTTGCAACTAGGGAACCTCCTTTCTCCGGGGGAAGATGGTGCTCATCAAGGAATTGTGAATGGTGGGAGTGCCGAGGGAGGGGAGGGAGTCCTCTGACATCGTCCCCCTCCCCTTAGCGCCGCTGCATGTGGCCGCCCCACCCCACGGAGCCCAGAGGTGCAGGCCATGAGTATCCCTCCTCTCCAGCCGCTCCCGGCTGAGGGGATAAAAGTGTGAGGGAGTTAAAGACAGTCCTTCCTCCACATTAGGGAGCAACAGTCTGGGCATTTCACACTTGCATCCTCTCCAGCACTGCCTTGTGGTGTTTTTGCGAGGTTGGGTGAGGAGCTGAGAAAGCAGTGGGGGGAGAGAAAGACCCCTTTAAAAAGGAGAGACATCACCTTGCCGACAAAGGTCCGTATAGTTAAAGCTATGGTTTTCCCAGTAGTGATGTATGGAAGTGAGAGCTGGACCATAAAGAAGGCTGATCGCCAAAGAATTGATGCTTTTGAATTATGGTGCTGGAGGAGACTTTTGAGAGTCCCATGGACTGCAAGAAGATCAAACCTATCCATTCTTAAGAAAATCAGCTCTGAGTGCTCACTGGAAGGACAGATCCTGAAACTAAGGCTCCAATACTTTGGCCACCTCATGAGAAGAGAAGACTCCCTGGAAAAGATCCTGATGTTGGGAAAGATGGAGGGCACAAGGAGAAGGGGACAACAGAGGACGAGATGGTTGGATAGTATTCTCGAAGCTACCAGCATGAGTTTGACCAAACTGTGGGAGGCAGTGGAAGACAGAAGTGCCTGGCGTGCTCTGGTCCA